GGGAAGCAGAGCATCATAGTTGCCATCCATAGCCCTCTCCTCCTCCATGACCTTGCCCAAGCCTCTTTTAAAGCCATCCAAGTTGGGAGCCATTACTGCTTCCTGCAGGGGAAGGTTTTGGGCTTCCTTTTCCCTGCCCTGAATGTTCCAACATTCAGCTTCTTTTCTTCTTTTTATAACATCTGTATTAATTTAAAATACAGTCATAAAATAAAGGTAAGTACAACAGAATTAAGCACAAAAAAGAAGAAAAAGAGGGATTAAAAAAAAGAGTTTAACAGTAGCAAGAAAATGTCAATTAAAAATAACCCAAATCTTTATACAACATCATGTCTTATCCAATAAAGTCTTGTATAAAAAACTTCCAATCGTTCTCATTATACTTTTTCTATTGCCTTGATTTTATCGCACAGTTTATTTTACAACTTTTTCCATATATTCCTCTGAGATGTTTATTCCATTTATTTATTGTACACAAGTATCATTCAATTCTGCTAGGATGAAATCAAAAAGTATACGGAGAATGGAAATTATTTAAGGAATATATAAGACTATGCTGAAAAAAATGATACCAACATTCAGTTTCACAGGATGCTCAAGAGCTCTATCCTGCAGTTTCCTACATTCCTATAATCCTCGTTAAATGTACAGTCTAAGGCAGGCATGGCCAAACTCAGCCCTCCAGATTGTTTGGGACCACAATTCCCATCATCCCTGACTGCTGGTCCTGTTAGCTAGGGATGATGGGAGTTGTAGTCCCAAAACATCTGGAGGGCCAAGTTCGGCCATGCCTGGTCTAAGGGCTCATCCACACCCAAAAGGCAGGGGTCCAAGGGGTTTTCTCCATGCCCCACTGCTTCCTGGTACCAAATCAGCAAAGGTCAATCCAGTGAAACCCCTAATTGCTGTTTGCTACACTTGAGGGCTATAGATCGATTTCCCCCAGGAGGGAGCAGCGGTGTGGATAAGCCCAGCTTGCTGGGATGCAACTGAATCTCACCTGAAAAGGGCATCATCGGAAGGAGCCTTGTCCTATCCACCTGGAGTGCCCCGTGGCTTCCTTTCATCTCTTCTGAATTGCTCCTTCCATCCTAGTGTTGGGTGCTTAGTTTAGCTCCAGCTCCATCCCAGGATATCTAGGATAGCTTGCTAGGCCTTTAAAGCCCTGCGAATTAACATCCAACTAGGGAGGAATCCAGAACAAAGGCGATGCGAGTGAGAGGCAGCTGCCAGGAAGGATAGTCACTGTGCTCCAAAAGAGGTCAGATTGAACATTTATTTCTGTTACAAAAAATCCCCAACCCTGAACATTTGTTTTCTTTCTGAGCCTGTGCCAGGGCAGGGGGTGGGGGTGCCTTTACACCAGATTTGCCTCCCTCAAAACAGCGTTGACAAATACTCCCTAAGAGTTGTTAACTCACCAGTGCGCACACAAGTACTTTGTTTCCTTACAAAAAGGATCGTGCAATCTTTGGGTTAGCAAAGATGCAGGGTGTAAAATCTCCTTTTTGGAGATGAGTTCACTTGGTTTTTCTTGCTACTGGGAGTCATTGGCCCCATGGCTCCTTGCTTCACTTGATTCAGGAAAACAAAAGAAAAAGGAGTGGGGCAAAGCCTGCTGAGAGCCTGCTAAGCCACACCCTCACGAGCAACTTGAGCTCAGGGCTCAGGTTAACCCTTTCGTTCATGCAAATGTGAGTCAGTAACTGTATATTACAATAGTGCCCCCTCTCACTGGCCCTGCTCTGTGGTCTCCTCAAATGCTTTTGCCTCAATGGAATAGGTAATATTGCTCCACCCACTTTCCCCTCTAACCTCACCACCACTAGAACTTACACACGGCTTTTCTTAACCAGAATACTGCAGTCAGAAACAGTGTCCGGGCAGAAATAGCTGCCACCAAAAATAAGCTCAACAACTTTTGTGTCCAGATTTTCACTTTTTGAAACATGGCAACCCTAGAGTTGGCCAACCACTGGAGAGATTTCCATTTCACTCAAAAAGGATGGTGGAACAAGGTGGGAGCAGTTGACAGTTACAGAAAAAGAGGCAGAGCAAAACAGACAACTTGGAGGAGTTAAATTCAACAATCCTTCTCAGTTACTTTGGGGTTTTTTTTTGTCACTTTTGTTTTGAGAGAACAGGGAGCAGTCCTCCCCACCCTAGATATCCATCATCCATTATGGACTGGAACTTTATTCCATTATAAAAAAGGTAAAGGGACCCCTGACCATTAGGTCCAGTCGTGGCCGACTCTGGGGTTGCGGCGCTCATCTTGCTTTATTGGCCGAGGGAGCCTGCGTACAGCTTCCGGGTCATGTGGCCAGCATGACTAAGCCGCTTCTGGCAAACCACAGCAGCGCATGGAAACGCTGTTTACCTTCCCACCGGAGCGGTACCTATTTATCTACTTGCACTTTGACATGCTTTCGAACTGCTAGGTTGGCAGGAGCAGGGACCAAGCAACGGGAGCTCACCCCGTCGTGGGGATTCGAACCGCCGACCTTTTGATCGGCAAGTCCTAGGCTCTGTGGTTTAACCCACAGCGCCACCCGTGTCCCTCTTATTCCATTATACCTAAACTTAAAATCTAAACATTACCTTTCATGGCCTTCCATTTTGCTTTTTCTACATCTTCACGATTGTTTGGGTTTTTCCTTTATGCAGCACCAGAATTAGGTTCATAGTGAAGTTTTGTTATATGTGTCTTGTTTGATATCATGCATATTTTTTTTTGCTTATCTGAAAGAATCCCATATATATATATGAGATATGTGGAACTTCCAGCCTTCTAGATGTTGCTGGATGTCAACTCCCACAGGGTTCCCAATGGCCAGTGGTCAACTGGTCAGGCATGGGGAGAGCGGGAGTCCCCATGGGCAAAGACAGATTGAAGAAGGGCTGAAGAAATAGGAGGCTCTGTTTTGGGGACTGAGAAGGACTCCCCTTCCTGGAAGACTGGATTCCAACTCTCCCATGTAGTTCTGGAGGAGAGGGAGGGGTGGTCCAGATTCATCCAAAACAGCAGCTGCTGCCACCTTCATCATTCATTTTCATCCTGTGCAACTAAGACAGCTGCAAGCAAGGACAAAGACAGGGTATTGTGGGTGTCACCTTCAGCCCCCTTCCCCCTTGTCTAAGTATCTCTCTGCTCCTGGCCCCAGGCAAGAAGATGCTCTGGGGCAGAGTAAAAAGCTAAAAATATAAACACAAAGACTGCCGGGCGGGGTCAGCTGAAAGGTCTCTCTCCCAAGCAGACAGGGCCCCAGCATCTTGTATAAACAGAGGGAAACTGCCCCACAGCGTGGACGTTGAGAAATCTTGCTCTGCAGCGTGCCCGACTTGAGGGACCTCCTTTTTTTAAAAAAAAATAATATTTATTAAAAGTTTAAGAATTACAGAAAAAAGAAGAAAAAAGCAAAAAAGCAATAACAATAAAAAAGAAAAAGAACAATAACAAAATATATCAATACAGCAAAAAAGACAGACAAAAAAAACCCCACCTAAAACACACATCCAGTATTCCATGTCTTTATCTTTCCTTCCCTTGTTTCATCGACCTCCTCACACCTCCCTTTTTTTGTATTCTAATTCAATTCACTATTTCAGCAAGTTCTTCCCATCTTTCTCAATTTTTATTCTATAATTTATCTTAACGGTCTAACCTTGAATTTTTTCAGTTTAACCCATTATCAATCAACTTTTACTTAATTCTTTGTTGCATTTCTACTAAAACCATGTAACTTCATTCCCGCATCCTTCTAACACTCATTAATTTTACAATGTTTCTGTAAGTATACTTTAAATTTTTTCCAATCTTCTTCCACCGACTCTTCTCCCTGGTCTCGAATTCTGCCAGTCATTTCCGCCAGTTCCATGTAGTCCATCAGCTTCATCGACTTGAGGGACCTCCTTACTCCTTACACATCTATGAGCGGAAAACCCATTTGCTCTGATGGAGTGCTCAAGAGTGGTTAGAGCAGGGCTGTCAGCGTGGCTGCCCCTGTTCTGTGGAGCAGGATTCCTGTCGAGATAACGACAGATTTCCCAGGAACGACTGAAGGCCTTTTTGTCCCGACAGACTTTTCCAGCTGGTGAAATGGGTCCCCGCCGTGGCTGTCCACTTATCAGGGTTTTCGTCTGTTTTCAATGTGTTTGCTGTCGCTTAAACTGTTTTTGATTCTCTTGCGCATAAAACGCCTTGAGATGAGAAGGAAATTGACAAAAATGCTAGCAACAACAATGGGAGTTGCATTTTTACACAAATACACTCACCAGTCTTTGCCAGCCTGGTGCCCTCCAGCCATTTTGGACTACAGTGGTACCTCGGGTTAAGAACTTAATTCGTTCTGGAGGTGTGTTCTTAACCTGAAGCACCACTTTAGCTAATGGGGCCTCCCGCTGCCGCCGCGCGATTTCTGTTCTCATCCTGAAGCAAAGTTCTTAACCCGAAGTTCTATTTCTGGGTTAGCGGATTCTGTAACCTGAAGCATCTGTAACCTGAAGCGTCTGTAAGCTGAGGTACCACTGCACAACTCCCATCATATAGCTGCGCCAGGGATTCATAACTCCAAACAGTTGGAGACCCCCAAGTTTGTTGAAGGCTGATATGCACACAGAGACACAAATTGCATCGCTGCCGGCTGGTAATTCTGCTTGGTGTGCCATTTAACGCGCGCACACACACTCTTCTGCTGCCCCTCCAGCTGCACATCCAGGAAAAACTGACACACGCAGGTGTCCAGCTATTATTCAGCCACCGACCAGGACTTGCGTCGACGTCTTAAAAGGAGAAACTGTCCGAGCGCCCGGCATGCCTCTAACCTTGTCCGTCTCACATGTCACCGCATGACAATGAGCTGTTATTTAAGAAGAGAGAAAGGAGATGGGGGGGGGGTTTGGAGAGAGAAAGGGGGACTAACTCACCTGCCACAGCCAAAAGTGGAGATGGGTTTATTTTTAATCTGGGATGGGCTCTATTTATTGTCTCCGCAGCCGGAGTGCAGGGGGCACCAGCTGAAAGATTCCTCTTGGAACGAGACTGTGGGCTGCGCAGTTTGGTCTGAGACATGGTGAGTAAGAGAGTCAGAGAGGGGATATTTGGGGTAGAGGGCAGAGGATGGAATGAGAAAAGGTCCCAGAAAATATTGGGAAAGCAGGCTGGTTATTGATCTCAGGTGAAGAAGAGCTGCTTAACAGGTGAATCTGGGCAATGGATCAGTTTCCCCTTCGCAAGGATGTTCAAGGCTAGATGCACAGCACATTCCTTTACACGACTCCCATGAATTCAGTGGGGCTTACTTCCAGGTAAGTGGGGTAAGGACCGCAGCCTACATGAATCAGGGGGAGCTGATTTGAATCAGAGGAGGCTGAGAAGTTTTACAGCAGTTCATGTCTGTTCCCTGAGGTTTTGGAAGCATGCAAATTATCCCACAAGTTAGTGGGAATGCAGGTTCTTTAACTGGTTCGTTTGGATACTTGAAATATTCCTTGCTCGCCCAAAGATTTCAGGGCAGGGAACCCAAAGTGTGAATATCATTAAACACACATGATGCATAGATACAAGTTAAATCCGGGTAATGATTATAAAGAAAAGACAACCCCTCTCCCCATAAAAGCTTAAAAACAGAAGAGTCCACCTACAATCTAAAACGTGTCTCCTATAAAAGGTGTGTCTCCTATGAAAGGGCCACCTGCTTTGCAGGTGAGCCTGGAAACCTGGAGAGCTGCTGCCAATCCGTGTAGACAAGATTGGGTGGGATGGACCAGTGGTCAGACGCAGTCTAAGACAGCATCTTATGTAAGCTCCCCACCCAGCCACATCCAATTAAGCTGAATGGTTTGGGGTTCAGGACAGAACCAAAGGAAAGTCCTTCATATAATTCAGGGGTGGCCAACACCCAAGAGACTGCGATCTACTCATAGAGTTAAAAACTGGCAGTGATCTACCCCATTTTGGGGGGGTTCAGTTCAAAGTTGTTGAACTTTTTTAAGGAAGGAAAGCCCTGTTTTTGCGGTTCAGGTCAAAGTTGTTTAGCTTCTTTGGGGGGAGTCAGTGATCTACTGGTGATCTGCCACAGACGTCCAGTGATCTACCGATAGATCACGATCTACCTGTTGGACGTGCCTGAAATTCATAGTGAGGCTGTGGAATTGACTCCTTCCGCAAGTTGTGGTTCTGGCAACGAACTTCGAGGACGAAGGCTACCCAAGAGGATTTGGCCATTTCCCCAGGTGCCCGGCTCGAAAACAGTGCCGGCCTGAGTCCCCAGTATGCCCACGGGCAACTGAGAAAGACCCTGATCTGAGATCTTGGAAAGTCCAGCCAGTAGATGTAGGCAGCACTGCGCTAGATAGATTCAGGGTCCAATTCTTCACAACGCAACTCCCTGAATTGCCGTGGAGAATACTGGGGTGGGCTGACCTCAAAGGCAGATTTATTTATGGAGTGGGGGGGGTCATGCTCCTAAGTCAGATAAAGGCTTCCAAGGTAGCTTATAAATTGTAGAAGGCTCGTAATATAAAATGATGCAACACAAACGCTCAAGAAGAGAAGAAAATGAGCAACCTTGCGTTCCATATCCTGTCTGTTTGTTAGATCAGCAAACGTTGCCCTCTGGTGAAGTCCACAGAATAGTGGTTCTAAAAACCTTTACTTAGGAATTTCCCAAGGTTCACACTCACCTGTAAAACCAGCTGAGATGAACCGGGAAAGGAGGCTCCCAGAACGCGTTGCCCCTCACTCGGCGGATGCAGTTAAGCTGTTAGCATACGGTCTGGTTTTATATTTAAGTGAAATATGTATTTGTTGTGTTTTATAAGTTGTTCCTCAGGGCTTATTGACACCGAACTGTGCTTTTGCCATGAGTTTTCCCTGCAAAAACCCACCCTTTAAAGCGGAAGCGCAACAAATGGCAATTCGGGTTTTCTGCAGGTTGCTGCTTCTGCCAATTCAGCAGGAAAGAGCGGGTTTTCAGGGAGAAAGCTCAGTCAGAGAAAGAGCAGTCGGACATGGAGTTTTAAAGTGTGGGCAATGCCTGGAAAACACAAAGTTAAGTGGGAATAAGCCCTCCCTCTGGGATTGTGTGAATAATGAAGAGTGGGGTACAAACAATTTAACCGGATGCTTTAAAAGGCCTCTTGTTTGATGGCCTCTTTTAATAGAATCATATAATTGTGGAGCAGGTAGGGACCCCAAGGGTCATCTAGTCCAACCCCCCTGCCATGCAGGAATCACAGCTAAAGAATCCCCGACAGACCTCTGCTTTAAAAGCTCCGATAAAGAAGAGTCCGCCACCTTCATGATATTGGACATATATAGGTGAATGTTTATTGGTTAATGTTTTAATAGGATTGGTTTGTTCTGTATTTTAGCTACTCTTTTTTTTTTTAATTGTTCCATATTTTAACAGTGTGGTGCAATTGGTTTTTGTGTTTGGCAAATTGCTTAGCATCAAGCGGCAACAGCATAAATAATCAATTAATAATAGTAATAACGACCCTGGGAGTCCCTTCGCAACTCTACAGTTCTGTGATTCTATGCAGGGCCGTCTTTTGCAGATGTGGCGCTGGGGTGCAAATATCCGCCCAGCGCCCCCAAATTACCACGGATAGTGTTGGGGTGGCCGTAGCTGCGCACTGCCAGCCATCGGGGGGCGCAACTCTCCTCCATTCTGTTGCGGGAGAGCGATCCCCGCAGAGGTTTGGGAGTGAAGTTGCGCCCCCCCAAACCTCCTTGGGAGGAGAGCGATCCTCGCAGAGGCTTGGGAGGGAAGCTGCACGCCCGCCAGCCTTATGGTTGGCGGGGCACAGCTGGCAGGCGTGCAGGGAAAGGGGAGGCCGCCGGCAAAGCTGCACAGCTCCCCCACTTTCTGGGGCGCCCCTGGGAGGCTGGCTCCCTGGCGCAACGCACCACTAAGCCCTATGGGAAAGACGGCTCTGATTCTATGGAATAATATAAATGATAAAATCTGCCAGCTTTTTAGCTGGAGCACCTTCCTTTTGCTTCCCACCTCTGCTGCAGCCCTGCTGCAGCTCCGAGGCTTAAGGGGGCACCCGTGAATAACAATTGTCCCCCTCGCATCTCTCGAAGTCTCCCAAGAAAGCCAAGAAGCGATCCGAAGGCGCCAACTCCAACGTCTTTTCCATGTTTGAGCAGGCTCAGATCCAGGAGTTCAAGGAGGTACGTCAAGACAGCCCAAGAAGAAAGGCGGCGGGGGGGGGGGGAAGAATGGCCTTTTGGGGAAGAGTTGCACCCAAAATCTTCCTAAATCGTTCTGGTCTTGTTTGTTTTTTCAAAAAAATTATTGCGTTTCCAAATTTATATAACAATAAAAAAAAGAAAACATTACATTAAAAAGAAAACAGACAAACAAACATTTATCTTAACTGTTAGATATCCACTTTTGTACCATTGTTATATGACTTCCTCAAATCCCACTAGCTGAGTTTCCAAATTATTCATTGTTTTCCAACAGTATTTTCCAATAATAATTACTTAGTCATTTAACATCTTTCTTCCTTTCCATATTGACTTCAATCCATAGTATTGTGTAATTTAACAGAGTTACCTCCTAGGCCAATCAGTTACTCACAAGTAGTTCTACTTAGATTTACTTAACATATTTATTTAAATAGTCCTTAAATTTCTTCCATTCCTTATGATACGCCTCCTCCTTCTGATCACGGATTCTTCCGGTTAGGTCGGCCAGCTCCAAAAATTCCATCATCTTCATCTGCCAGTCCTCCACTGTTGGTAAATCTTGTAGTTCCCAATTTTTAGCTAACAAAATTTTGTTAGCTTCCTAGATCATTCTGAGAAAGCAGTCCAGGCTGGCTGCACACTGAGTCAAAGGGGCAGCTCCACATTCAAATCTCACTCTCCACAAGCTCCCCTGAAGTGTCTTTGGCTTATCTCTCAGTCTCGGTTCCACACCTGTAATAAAAGCTGCACATCTTTGCAGGCGTTCCTTTGCTATACCAAATCAGCCGGCCGCAGGGAGCCTTGCGTCTTGAGGGCAGGCCAGGCCAATGCTTTTACTCATTTATTTTAAGCGCAGAATTGCACGCCAAGTCCTGGGTTCTAGAAACCAATTAAAAGGGGCTTAAATGGGAAGCCCAGTCTCAGCCGTGGAACCTGTTCACAATACCAGAGCTTAAACGCTGGAATACAAGACTCCTGCCAATTTCAACGCATGGCAAAACACCAGCAGGTGGTGCATACTCTGGGCTGACTTTCTCTCTGTCCCCCCCCCCCCACTTTCTATTTTTGATCGGTTCTGCAGAACAGATTTCTGGGTTTGCTCTGGGTGTAGGGAGGGGGAGGCATTGAAGTAAGGGGGGGTGGACCCAATCTGGTTCCCAATTTGCAGTGACCACATTCTCGCAGCATTTTGCAATGCGTTTATTTTAAAGCCCTCATGAAAATTCACCGGCATTTTAGTGTGAATTTCTCCTAATGCACACATTTGGGGATGTAATTTCCCCTAATAATAATGCCAAGATTCTCAGGAAAGCAATTTCTGCATCTAGCATGACCTTGGGGTGTGGCCAGGTAACACAACTGTGCCCTGATATCCCTCATTTAGGCCTTCACCATCATGGATCAGAACCGCGATGGGTTCATTGACAAAGCAGACCTGAGAGATACGTTCGCCGCATTAGGTAAGCAAAGAAACCCTATAAAACGCCCAAAAGCTAGTAAGCAGAACCAGGACATTTTTATGGTTTTGTATCTAGTCTGTTCTGTCTGCTTTTAAAACTGCCTCTAGTGTTTTTATTTATTATGGTGATGTATTATTCATAACTGTATTACAGAGGATTTGTCTGTTTTGCTTTTCTTTACCTTTGTATAGCAACCTGGTATCTTTGTAAAAAAAGAAAAGGAAAAAAAGGCAGGTTGCATTCAATGCTGGTCCTACGCAGAGTAGACCCACTGAAAATAGTGAACCTAAGTTAGGCCCCATCTGCACTGTATACATTTAAAGCAGTATCATACCACTTTAAAGAGACTACAATTCCCATACAGTGTATTCCTCTTCCTAGGGAACTCTGGGAATTGTAGTTCTGGGAGGGGGATAGGGTGCCCTCCTAATTACTCTCAGCACCCTTCACAAACTACATCTCCCAGAATTCTTTAGGGGAGACCGTGCCTGTTTGAAGCCTTGTGATTCTGGTTTAAATGCATAGAGAAAATGGGGCCTCTTGGGTTCATTAATTTCAGTGGGTCTGCTCTGAATAGGACTCAAGTTGGATAAAAAAAACCCAAAGAGCAGCCTAGAATAGACATACATACAGCATGCATGGATTTTTTTCAACCAAAAGGCATATTTCAATTGCCAACATTTTCTCTCCTTTCACCACCCAACTAAAATTCTCTGCCAGGTCCACCAACTTAAATTCAGAATGTCGATTCCCACAAAGTCTGAAAAACCAAACATGCAGAAATCTGAATCATTTGCTGTTCAAAGATCTGGGATCTTTCTAAAAGTTCAGCCCAAACCAGTCTGCATTAATTCATTAATTCATTCATTTCCTGCATTTATATCTCACCTTTTCCTCCCAGGAGCTCATTGTGGATCTCCTCCTGCTCATTTAATCTCCACAACAAACCTGTGAGGGAGGTGAGACTGGGAGGCAGAAACTGGCCCAAAGCCACCCAGTGGGCTTCATGGATTTGAACGCTAGATCCCAGTCCAACATTCTAACCACTACACCACACTGCCTCTCATGAGCCCTGTGAACTATTTATAGTGGCCTGCTGTGTGCCCGGCAACCCTAATTTTTGCAGTTCCAGGTAGCAAAACAGCCCTCTGGTGGGCCACTGGATGCAGTTGGTCGGTTGCCAAAGGTTTGGTGGTGGGCCTCTCAATCTGGTGTGGCCAACACGGTGCTCTCTTTTCAAACTAAAACACCCGTCACCCACGGCTGTCGGCTCTGCTGACTGGGGCTGGTGGAAGTTATAGTCCCCCAGAAGGCGCCAAGCCTGCTCCTGTTGCACAGGCTTAACGTGATAATTCCAAGATGTTCAATATTTGAAAGGATCATCGACAAATCTCCCCTAGAGTTCTTCTACAGTGGTACCTCAGGTTAAGAACGTAATTCGTTCTGGAGGTCCGTTCTTAACCTGAAACTGTTCTTAACCTGAGGTACCACTTTAGGCAATGGGGCCTCCCGCTGCCGCCGCGCAATTTCTCTTCTCATCCTGAAGCAAAGTTCTTAACCCAAGGTACTATTTCTGGGTTAGCAGAGTCTGTAACCTGAAGCGTATGTAACCTGAGGTACCACTGTACTCCAGGCATCCCCACCCTGCGGCCCTCCAGATATTTTGGCCTACAACTCCCATGATCCCTAGCTAATAGGACCAGTGGTCAGGGATGATGGGAATTGTAGTCTAAAACATCTGGAGGGCCGAAGGTTGGGGATGCCTGCTCTACTCTGTCGTGTTTCCCTCCTTCCTCAGGACGCTTGAATGTGAAGAATGAAGAACTGGACGACATGGTCAAGGAAGCTCCTGGGCCTATAAATTTCACAGTGTTCCTGACCATGTTTGGAGAAAAACTTAAAGGTGAGATTGTAGGCAAGGGTAGAAGGTGTTTCTCTGCCACCCCCCATGCCACAAGCAAGGAGCACCTTCTGGGAAGAGGTTCTTGGCATCGCGTCACTGCCTGCTCCAACCACCTTGCCATACACATAGAATCAGAGTTGTGCGTGCCTGGAGGCGGTTGGAGGATGGATGGTGGCTAACAGATTGAGGGTGAATCCAGACAAGACAGAAGTACTGTTTTGGGGGGACAGCGGGCGGGTGTGGGGGATTCCCTGCTCCTGAATGTGGTAACTGTGCCCTTGAAGGACCAGGTGTGCAGCCTGGGAGTCATTTTGGACCCACAACTGCCCATGGAGGCGCAGGTTAATTCTGTGTCCAGAGTGGCTGTCTACCAGCTCCACCTGGTATGCAGGCTGAGACCCCACCTGCCCACAGACTGTCTCACCAGAGAGGTGCATGCTTTAGTTATCTCCCGCTTGGACTACTGCAATGCACTCTACGTGGGGCTACCTTTGAAGGTGACCCAGAAATTGCAATTAATCCAGAATGCGGCAGCTAGACTGGTGACTGGGAGTGGCCGCTGGGACCACATAACACCGGTCCTGAGAGACCTGCATTGGCTCCCAGTACGTTTCCAAGCACAATTCAAAGTGTTGGTGCTGACCTTGAAAGCCCTAAATGGCCTCGGTCCTGTATACCTGAAGGAGCGTCTCCACCCCCATCATTCAGCCCGGACACTGAGGTCCAGTGCCGAGGGCCTTCTGGTGGTTCCCTCACTGCAAGAAGTGAAGTTACAGGGAACCAGGCAGAGGGCCTTCTCGGTAGTGGCGCCTGCCCTGTGGAATGCCCTCCCATCAGATGTCAAGAAAATAAGGAACTATCTTATCTTTAAAAGACATCTGAAGACAGCCCTATTTAGGGAAGTTTTAAATATTTAATGCTGTATTGTTTTTAACACCCGGTTGGAAGCCGCCCAGTGTGGCTGGGGAAACTCAGCCAGATGGGCGGGGTATAAATAATAAATAATAATATTATTTATTATTAGTATTATTATTATTATTATTGGAAGGGACCCCAAGGGTCATCTAGTCCAACCCCCAGCAATGCAAGAACACCCACCCCCACAGTGGTGGAGAGAACAGGCTGGCCTCCCATGAGTATTTCACTTTCCAGATCTCTTTTCTGTGACTTTCAGGTGCGGATCCAGAAGAGACTATTCTGAACGCTTTCAAAGTGTTCGATCCAGAAGGCAAAGGCCTGAAGGCGAACTAGTAAGTACCTGTGGAACTCCCTCCCACATGAGGCATGGATGACCACCAGTTTGGATGACTTTAAAGGGGGGCGGGCGGACAATTTCATGGAGGAAAAGGCTATCGATGGCTCCTAGCCATGGTGCCTACGCTCTGTATCTACAGTCAGAGCAGTAAATCTTCTGAATACCAGTTTCTGGAAGCCACAGGAAGGGAGAATTGCTCCCGCGCTTGCATCCTGCTTGTGGGTTTCCCATTGGGGCATTGGCTGGCCACTGAGAACAAGATGCTAGCCGAAATGATGTTGGTGCTGATTTTGGAAGCTTCGCAGCGAATCCTTTCCTGTTTCAACCTTTGATTACGAGATGCGAGGGCCATCTGTCTCTCAGGCCCTTCAATTAAAGGCTGCAGCCTCTGCTCCTCTCAAAGCTTTCCTTGTCATTTTGCTCTGGGGTTTTGCTCCCTCGTGGTCCTCCATCTGTCCCCTGCTTTGTCTTGCAGCATCAAGGAGATGCTGATGACGCAAGGAGAACGGTTTTCGAAGGAGGAGGTAAGAGGAGCTTGGGGACTGGCAGGCATTGAATGGGCTAAATGGGAGGGCAGGAGCTCAGAAACAGAAGAGGAACAGCTTAGCATTCAGTGCCTGCCTTCTGCATAGCTGTCAAGCGTCCCTTATTTGGCGGTACAGTCCCTTATCCCAGTGCCATGTCCCGCTGCTGTCCCTTATTGATGAGGCTTCATTTGGCTGCTGGCTGGGCTTTCTGCCTTTGGCTCGGAGGGGCTCAGAAGTTGAACATACCTGTGCCCGGAAAATCCCTTATTTTGTCTGCTGATCCCTTATTTTCGAGGCTGCTGGTCCCTTATTTTCAAATCTGTAAGTTGACAGCTATGCTTCTGCATGTAGAACTGGGGGAAACTGCTGTCCTGGACCTTGGACTACTGCTGTCCATCACGATGTGCAATACTGAGACCACTGCTCTGCCTCCTATGCTCCTAGAATAAATTGTAGAACTCTAGAGGACCCTGAGGGTCATCTAGTCAAGCCAGGGGCATACATAGACTCCCTTGCACCTTTGGTAAGGAGCCGTATCAGTGCCCCTGCCCCTTGTGTTCCTCTGCCAAGGAGCCCAGAGGAACCTGTGTCCTTGCCTGGCCACCCAAAGCCGTGCAGAAACAAGCAGGTAGACTCATATCCAGTCCGAGCCAGAGTGTGCTGGTCCTGTGGGTTACCCGAGAGATGAGGTCCAAGTCCGCTCCATGGTCAAAGGTGCAACGTGGAGGCAGTCCGTAGTAGCTGAAGCTGGGTGCAGGGCAGGGAAGAAGAAGAAGAAGAAGAGTTTGGATTTGATATCCCGCCTTTCACTCCCTTTAAGGAGTCTCAAAGCGGCTAACATTCTCCTTTCCCTTCCTCCCCCACAACAAACACTCTGTGAGGTAAGTGGGGCTGAGAGACTTCAGAGAAGTGTGACTAGCCCAAGGTCACCCAGCAGCTGCATGTGGAGGAGCGGAGACGCGAACCCGGTTCCCCAGATTACGAGACTACCGCTCTTAACCACTACACCACACTGGGAGTCGGGTGAAGTCAGGAACAGGCATGCAAGCAGGGAGCCAGGACGGGTCAGGAGCTCAGGCAGGAAAGCAGGACAGGGTTCAGGCAGGAACAATGTTGCTCCGCAACTTGGGAATGGGGCTGGCCGGCTTTTATCTGCCCCGAGGCATAGGGCGGCCCCAATCTTCTGGTGACTCGCCTCTCCTGGCCTGGAGGTGAGCACTCCTCCTGCGGGAACTTAGTTCCCTCCGCCTCTCTGCCCTGAGCCTCTGCAGCTCAGGAGAGGCTGAAGGGTCACCAGACCCAGAGGCAACCTCAGCCTCCCCTGACGGGGCTGGGAGTGGAGCACCTGCAGGCAATGGGTCCTCCATCACTTCAGGAGCCAGGGCAGACTCAGCTGATGCCTGCACCTGAGGACTCAGCACAGGTGAGGACCCTTCAGGCTCAGGCCCCAGCCCTGGCTCAGCTGGTTTTGGAGGCGGGGAATCCTGTGCAGGCTGGGATCCCTCAGGTTCAGCATCCGAGTCCAAATCCCAGGCCATCACACCGAGTGAAGTGCATTTTTTGCACCCCCTTGGGCCAACCAGGCCATTCCCTGCCTAGCCCAACCTCCTGCAATGATTCAAATCTCAACTAAAGCATCCCTGACCGATGGCCATTCAACCTCTGCTTAAAAACCTCCAAGAAGTCCACTACCTTCCCAGGGAGTCCATTCTACTGTCAGACAGCTCTTACTGTCAGAAAGTTCTTCTCTTCTTGTAACTTGAAGCTATTGGTTTGGGTGCTACCCTCTGGAGCAGGAGAAAACAAGCTTGCTCCTTTCATGTGACAGCCCCTCAGATATTTGAAGATGGCTACTATATCTCCTCTTTTCCAGGCTAAACATCCCCAACTCCTTCAACCGTTCCTCATAAGGCTTGGTTTCTAGACATTTGAACATCTTGGTTGCCCTCCTCTGCACACCTTCCAGCTTATTTAATTCCACCCTGCATCAAGAACGTAGAGCAGCTCCCTTTATTTTTAGGGACAGGCCATATCTGAGCAGCAGAGCACGTGCGTTGCTAGCAAATGATCCTAGGATCATTTCCCAGCAACTCCAGGTAGGCTGGAAAAGTCTCCTGTCTGAGACCTTGGAGACTTCCTACCCGACAGTGTGGACAAACCTGAGCTAAATGGACCAAGGGGTCTCTCTCTGCTTTCCTCCAGGGAACCCTGGGAAGTGTAGTATTGTGAGAGCAAGCGAGAGGACTGTGCTCTCACTCTGTGCTCTCATCTCAGCAGCCCCGTCCGTATGGAACAGGATGCTGGCCATTGGCCTGATCCAGCAGCCTCTTCATATATTAATATTAAATATTTTTTACTTAGTAATGTTGCTTTTCTGCTGGCGGGGCACCAGCAGGCATTCAGCAGTATTTTTACAGTAAACCCCCCAGGACTAATGATAAGGATAATAAGGCTCCCTGTCTAAACACATTGACAACTCCAGAAGGACTTACTTCCAAGGAAACAGGCATAGGGTTGACCTGCATGTCTACTGAGATATAAGGCCCATTGATTTCAGTCCAAATTATTCCTGGGTAACTGCGCATAAGATTGCAGGCTAGAGCTTGGGTTGATTAAGAGTGCAATCCTCTATGCACACTTGGTTTGGTGTAAGTCCCACTGAGCACCCATCTTAAGGGGCTTAAAAGGTAAAGGGACCCCTGACCATTAGGTCCAGTCGTGGCCGACTCTGGGGTTGCGGCGCTCATCTCGCTTTATTGGCCGAGGGAGCCGGCGTACAGCTTCCGGGTCATGCGGCCAGAACGATTAAGCCGCTTCTGGCGAACCAGAGCAGCACACGGAAACGCCGTTTGCCTTCCTGCCGGAGCAGTACCTATTTATCTACTTGCACTTTGATGTGCTTTTAAACTGCTAGGTTGGCAGGAGCAGGAACCGAGCAACGGGAGCTCACCCCGTCGCGGGGATTCGGACCGCTGACCTTCTGATCGGCAAGTCCTAGGCTCTGTGGTTTAACCCACTGCACCATCCTTACAGGGCTTGCTTACTTCTAAATAAATGTGCATAGGGTTGTGCTGCTTGAGCATCAGTCAAAGCAGTTAGAGGACTGCAATTCCAGGTATAACCGGTGCAACGTTGGATAAAATGAACCTCCAGAGAACTTTTCCCTGCCTGCTTCTTTCCGGCAGATAGACCAAATGTTTGCAGCCTTCCCTCCCGATGTGACCGGCAACCTGGACTATAAGAACCTCGTCCATATCATCACTCATGGAGAGGAAAAAGATTGAAGCCCGGGAGAGTCCCTTTCTATGGGCCTGGAATGGTACACAGTGGGGCTTCCTTCTCCTCACAGCTCTGTTTGTTCCTCACCGTGAAAACTGGGGTGTTCACAGGCTTCCTGATAGTTCTTGTCTTCTTGGTGTTCCCAGTCCCTTGTCCGTCTTCTTTGTGTGAAAGAATTCATTCGTGACTTGAGAAACATTTCCAAAATTGTATTTGTGTTGAATTATTCATTGAGTACATGTGTCACGGTCTGGTTTATGGGTGATTGAAGTCCCGGCTGGGGACGTTGGGACCGGGGGCAAGAAGGCGGGGTGGGAGCAGGAACGGGAGTCCAGAAGCCAGGAGTCAGGAAGCCAAGAGTCCGAGGGTCTGAGAGCCGGGAGTCAAGAAGCCAAGGGTCCGAGGGTCAGGAAACAAGGAGTTACAAAGTCAAGGGTCCGAGGATCAAGAAGCAAGGAGTCAAGGAACCAAACTCAGCAAGGCAGGGAACATATTGCTGCGGCAAAGAGCCGAAGGGAAAATGCTGACCTTATATCCCTTCCCGGCTCTTGCCACCAGGTGCTGTGAGTTACCAATCGGCCTCATCTGTATGGCCACGCCTTGCCTCTTCAGAACAAACTTAGGAAGGCCCCAGTCCTGCAGAGTCCTATTGGTCACAGGGCCCGGCTCCTGCATGCACACCTGACACCACATGCTCCTACGTGAATAACAGTTGGCTTGGCAAAACCTGGGAGGGGAGAATGAACTCATGCAGGAGCCAGCACCCAAGCTGCAAACAAGCACATATCCCACTTCTGACACCACTGCTCCATCAAGGCTGGGGAACCATTCCACGGACCAGCTACAGTTACAGGGACCCGAGTTAGACAAGGTGCTGCATCAGTCCTGGAGCTTTTATACTCCTCTCCACCCATGCTGGCCCATCCTTCCCTGGGAGAACTGGGACATGTCCACAGCACATGTCTTCCTCATCCCAAGGAGGACTCAGACAAGGGAGACCTCAAACTGCCACATGGGAATGATAGCTTTAGGTCTGGGCTTTCACCAGTATCTTGGGGCTTGGGATGGTTTTGATGGATCTGAAGGGTGGTGGGTAGGACCCAACAGAGTACGTTGGGTGTCTTGAATCTGCAGTTCCTCCAGGGGGACATTTTCCCAGATGGTAATTTTGCAGGGGTTGGGGGCTGTCTCCCCCAATGCAATAGGGCCAGCACTCATGGGAGCAGGCCCCATCTGTCTGGTTATAGGAAGCCTCCAGCTTGTGGACCAGTCTGGGCTCACCAGCTGGCTCATGGCATCATTTCCCCCAAACCACACCTGTGTGTCCATCAGCTGACAGCTCCCCACCTGTGCCTTAATGTCCCAGGTGTCCTAAAACGTGTTTTGTTTCTCAGTTGGGCTTAAGTGCCAGGAAAGGCAGAGTACAGTGGATGCTCAGGTTGCGAACATGATCCATGTGGGATGCACATTCACAACCTGCAGCGGCACATCTGCGCACGTGCGGGTTGTGATTCGGTGCTTCTGCGCATGCACAAAGCACGATTTAGCACTTTAGTGCATGCATGACCACCAAAACCCAGAAGTAACCCATTCTGGTATTTCCAGGTTTTGGCGGGTCCATAACCCGAAAAAACGCAACCTGAAGCATCTGTAACCCGAGGTATGACTGTACAGTGGTACCTCAGGTTACAGGTGCTTCAGGTTACAAACGCTTCAGGTTACAGACTCCGCTAACCCAGAAACAATACCTCGGGTTAAGAACTTTGCTTCAGGATAAGAACAGAAATCGTGCTCCGGTGATGCGGCGGCAGCAGGAGGCCCCACTAGCTAAAGTGGTGCTTCAGGTTAAGAACAGTTTCAGGTTAAGAACGGACCTCCAGAATGAATGAAGTACTTAACCCGAGGTACCACTATACTACTAAAACAGTCCTAGCTGGTTTACAACACTCAGAATCAGATTGTTGGACAGTGCTGCCCTCTGGTGTTCTTATGAGAGCATTTCACTCAAGGATGGGGAAGGCCGGGCTCCCGCCACACACACACACACACACACACACACACACACACAACAGCAGCGACTCTTAATGGACAGCAAGGAACAGGTTTTTGTTCAAGGTCCAGAAGCCACGATTCCAAGGTATATGAGGAGCGAGGCAAGAGGCTCGTAACCAAATGGAAACTACGAAGACGTCCAAATGGTTGGCGGGTCCCTCCGGCCAAGCTGTGAAAAGTGAAACAGGGCACGCTTCTGGGACTCTGTCCCCCTAAGGCTCCGCTCCACACACTTTGCCTGGGTGGGGACACCCAATGCCCCCTACAAATGGGGTGTCTGGTTCTCAGCAACAAGAATTCGTCCTTCCCTCTTGCCTCCTGCCCCCAAGGAGCCCCTGACAGGACCCCTCCAGATGTTGCTCCCACCCTACCAGCCACTGGCCATTCTCGCTAGGGCTGCTGGAAGCTGTGAGTCCGACAACATCTGGAGGGCCACAGCTGTTCTCCATCCTTGCTTCAGCAAGAGCAGTGCTTCCCAAACTCGGGTCTCCGGCTGTTTTTGGACTACAACTCCCATCATCCCTAGCTGCAAGACCACTGGTCAGGGGTGGCCCTCCTCCCTCTGTTCATGGGGGCCACCTGCCTGGCTTTCTCGACTTGGTCCCAGACTCTGAGCTTGGCTAAGCATCAGGGCAGCCTGGTCTTCAGCCCCACAGTGCTTTGTGGAGACATGCCATCTTTGACCCCCTTCAAATATATCTAGAGTACCTGTGGTCTGGAATCCAGAACCACCTGTGGTATGATCCCATGAACCCAGCATTTGGAGGGGTGGAGATTCCCCGTTGGGGAGAGCACCACCTTTCACCTGCGTAGGAGGGAGAGAAGGTAGATGCTGCAGGCTGCTTTTGTTCTGCAAATACCCCCCAAATAATGCTCGTGCGACTTAGTTCTTCCATTGCGGTAAATAAGAAATGGGGAGGGATGTGGTTTATGGGAGGAGCTCAGATTGATAGAGTTGAGTCAGGAAGTGGGGATGGAGTCAGGCAGGAAGTAGAGACAGGAGACCTCTGTTCCTCTAGATGTGGTTTGACTACCACTCCCATCATGCCTGACCATTCACCCCATTGGCCTCAACTGTTGGGAGTTGGGGTCCACTAACATTTGGAGGGCCACAGGTTCCCTGTCTCTGCCTAAGGTACATTTCCTGAAATATACTCATACTCGGAATCCAGAGTGGATTTCATGCTCTTTATTCAGCTCATACTAGTGAGGAATGGAAGTTCCCGCAGAATGTCTGCTTTATATACATTATTTACACAATGGGACCCATGTGATCGGTTAATTCCGGGATTCTCCTGTAGGCCAATCAGGTTGCGGATTCACTTCCACCTGGAGCCGGATTGGGTGGCTCCTGCGGACCAATCAGACTGCTGCATTCTGGATCCTATTGTTCTAGGACCAATCAGACTGCTGCATTCTGGATCCTATTGTTCTAGGGCCAATCAGACTGCTGCATTCTGGATCCTATTGTTCTAGGGCCAATCAGACTGCTGCATTCTGGATCCTATTGTTCTAGGGCCAATCAGACTGCTGCATTCTGGATCCTATTGTTCTAGGGCCAATCAGACTGCTGCATTCTGGATCCTATTGTTCTAGGGCCAATCAGACTGCTGCATTTTGGATCCTATCTAACTCAGTACATAACATTTCCCCTCTGAGTGCTGCCAGGATCTTCCCATTGGCTAGCCCAGCCCCATCCTGATCCTCCGAGCTTTACTACTGTCATTGGAAGAAACAAACAGATGCTCGGATAGATCCCTGGGTTTTCCCTGGCTAATGGACCCAGCCAATCTCCTAGCTGTGCAAAAGCCAAGCATTAAAAAGAAAAAAGAAAAATCAATATGCATTGCAGGCGCATCAAGGTCAAGGTGGACAGCTCTAGTCACGTATTTCTAGAGGGGAAAACTCCCCCTCCTCTCCAGGGGTTGAGTTCAGTCAAATGTACGGCAGCACATCTCTCTCAAAGCAGACTTTGTGTAAAGGATTTTTTAACAAAAAGGTTTAAAGAAATGTGTGGGTGCATGTGTGGCTCTGCCCCTATACTGCAAACAGAAGCAGACAGATGCCCACCACCATACTCAGCCAGTAGATGGAGAGAAATATTTGATAGTAAAAGTAAAGGTAAAGGTAAAGGGACCCCTGACCATTAGGCCCAGTCGTGGCCGACTCTGGGGTTGCGGCGCTAATCTCGCTTTACTGGACAAGGGAGCCGGCGTACAGCTTCCGGGTCATGCGGCCAGCATGACTAAGCCGCTTCTGGCGAACCAGAGCAGCGCACGGAAACGCCGTTTACCTTCCCGCCGGAGTGGTACCTATTTATCTACTTGCACTTTGACCTGCTTTCAAACTGCTAGGTTGGCAGGAGCAGGGACCGAGCAACGGGAGCTCACCCCGTCGCGGGGATTCGAACCGCTGACCTTCTGATCGGCAAGTCCTAGGCTCTGTGGTTTAACACACAGCGCCACCCGCGTCCCGATAGTAAAAGTAAAACATTGCAAAGGTTAGAACATTGCAGAGACTGTAGAAATGCAAAAGTCAAATCGTGTCCTTTATTAATAACCTTTTATGTTTACGAAAGAGAGCCCATTTTGGTACTCCATCCCATTTAGTATTTTTAAAAATATAAATATATATATACACACACATACATAGTCTATGAACTGGGCTGAGAATCCCTGGGCTTTCTGGCCGGGGTGCCTGCCTGTCTCCTCTTAGGGTAAGGTGGAATACTTCTTCTTTTCTCGGCTGGCCTCCATTCTCTCCACCGAGCTTTTAAGCGATTTCATCTTCTCCCTCTCCAGGTTCTCCAGGATCATGGCCCGCAGGGTGCTGTGGTCCAGAGGACCCTCCACTGTTGGGAAATTCAAGGGGTTGCAGCTTAGAGGTGGAATCCGCAACATTAGGCTTGGTTTTTAATTACAGCTTGCAACAAAACGGAATTTGAGCCCCTGGCCACCTGCTCCTCCTCACCCTCCGCCCAGTCTCAAGCTTGCTTCAGATGACCAGTAAGACCCCCTCGTCCCCTTGCTCAGCTCGTCGTAAACTTGGGTCTTCCTTGGGAAAGATCAGGAAACGATCTGCTGGTTGGCCAACCTCTCACTTGCATTTCACTTCCCCCTTTGCTAAACAGGACTGGTGGCAGCGGAGGCCAGCTGGCAGCAGGAGATGCTCTGGTGTTCAGGAGCATCATTCCCTGTCCATGGAGACTATCCCTTCCTCGCCACACTCTGGGATGGCCATGCAAGGCTTCTAGAAGGCTGCGGGTTGACTCACGAGCTGCCCAGAGGCATTGTGGGGCCTTCCCGGAGCCTAGTAGACAAAGTGGAGGGCTTGAAAACTCTTTCAGTGACGAGAAACCCCCGCAAGGAAAGAGCTTTTTAAGCCCTCCTCCTTGCTCACAGGGTTCTGGGATGGTCACGTGAGATCTTGGATGGCCTCTTCCCACTGTCCATTCTCCCCTACCTAGCTCTGCATTTGTTTGCTTGGTTGCACTGGCCGATGATCTCCAGGGGGCTAGGGACGAAGGTGAAAGCTGTTTCCTAGTTCTGCTGGATCTCTCAGTGGCCTTTGATACCATCAACCATAACATCCTTCTGAACCATCTAGAGGAGCTGGAAGCTGGGGGCACTGTTATACAGTGGTTTCGCTCCTTCCTCCTGGGCCGTGTCCAGAAAGTGGTGATGGAGGATGAGTGTTCAGATCCCTGGGCCCTCACTTGTGGGGTGCCTCTGGGTTCTGTCCTCTCCCCCATGCTTTTTAACATCTATATGAAGCCACTGGGAGAGTTCATCAGTGGGGTTGGGCTGGGTGTTCCTCAGTATGCGGATGATACCCAGCTCTACTTCTCTTTCAAATCAGAATCAGCGAAGGCTGTGTGAGTGAGTGGAGCCGGTTGGAGGATGGATGGCGGCGACATCTATCTGGACAAGATAGAAGTACTGTTTTGGGGGGACAGGAGGGGGTGGGTGTGGAGGACTCCCTGGTCCTGAATGGGGCAACTGTGCCCCTGAAGGACCAGGTGCACAGCCTGGGAATCATTTTGGACTCACAGCTGTCCATGGAGGTGCAGGTTAATTTTGTATCCAGGGCAGCTGTCTACCAGCTCCATCTGGTACGCAGGCTGAGACCATACCTGCCTGCAGACTGCCTCTCCAGAGTGTGCATGCTCTGGTTACTTCCTGCTTGGACTACTGCAATGTGCTCTATGTGGGGCTACCTTTGAAGGTGACCCAGAAATTGCAACTAATCCAGAATGCAGCAGCGAGACTGGTGACAGGGAGTGGCCACCGAGACCATATAAAACCAGTCCTGAAAGACCTACATTGGCTCCCAGTACATTTTCCAAGCACAATTCAAAGTGTTGTTGCTGACCTTTAAAGCCCTCAACAGCCTCGGCCCAGTATACCTGAAGGAGCGTCTCCACCCCCATCGTTCAGCCCGGACACTGAGGTCCAGCTCCGAGGGCCTTCCGGCGGTTCCCTCCCTGCGAGAAGCGAGGTTACAGGGAACCAGGCAGAGGGCCTTCTCGGTAGCGGCGCCCACCCTGTGGAACTCCCTCCCATCAGATGTCAAGGAAATAAACAACTATCTGACTTTTAGAAGACATCTGAAGGATGTTTAGGGAATTTTTTAATGTTTGATTCTATTTTTAATATTCTGTTGGGAGCCACTCAGAGTGGCTGGATAAACCCAGCCAGACAGGTGGGGTATAAATAAAAATATATTATTATTGTTATTTGTCCCCCCCCCAAATTGTGCAAGTAAATCACATGTAAGCTGCAGGCAGAGTCGTAGCTATGGGGGACCTAGCCAGGTTTTTTGCCCCCGGTGAAGCCTCCAGAGGGCTGCCAGCCTGTGTGTGTGTGTACACAAATGTGTGGGGTGGTGTTGGTACCAAACTGGGTCTTTGACCCAGGTGAAATAGAGCCTCGTTTCACCCCCGACTGCAGGCCTGCTGCATATATTGAGAGCATCTAGAAATGTTTTGCATCACCGTCCTCTGCATCAGAGCCACAGTTACTTACAGGGCTCCAGCGTCTCTGCGAAGGGATCGACGCTGAGAGAAGGTGGCGCAATCTTAATGGTCTCCAGTTTCTTCAGGAAGGCGGAGCCGCCCAAAAAGGGGTTCAGCATGGGGACCGAGTCCAGCTCCCCCTCCAGCTCCTTGTAACGCAGGAAAGATTCGATCAGCAAGAGGTCGTTGCTTTTCTTCTCCACGATGCCTGAAGGGAGGAGACAAGTGGTGTACTTCAGGAGCAGTGGCCTATTGGCTGGAGGTCACCAGGGGTCAAAGACGCCTTGCTGTTTCTGTGGGAATGCTCAGAGTGGCAGGAGAGGGTATATTGTTTATTAATATCCTTCCTAACTTGCGTTAGCAAGTTCCTTTACTTAGCAGACTTTACATCCCCCTTTTTACATGCACAGCAGATAGCTGGTTGCAGGCTCGTGTGAGCCTCTCACTATTGCACAATTCAACCTGTCTCAGATTGAATTGTACGTTCCTGGTAAATTCCCTTGAATCCCTCTTAAAAGAATAAAGACACGGCAATCTTATTCAAAGTCAACAAAAGAAGTTTACTCACATCAGTTCACAGTTGGATTCCTGAAGGCAGACTTAGTTACCGATATGTACATGTGGATCTACCCCATATGGGGTGATAATCCCAGTGCTTCTGCTAGCTGAGGGCTAGCAGAGCAGTCCTAGCTAAAAGCTGGTCAAACGAAGAAGGAAGTCAAAAAGAGAGAGGTGTGCTGCGTGACTTGTCCTTTTGTTACCTGGACAGGTAAGGTCACGCCCACCTTCTATCACATGCAAAAGGAAGGATGCTCCAGCCAGGAGGAACAGGAAGTTTTGACTGGCTGGACCAAACATTCCCTCGCATGTCTTCTCTAGCATTACAAGGAATGTTGTACTTGACTGGCTCTCATGGATCACATCCCATAGTTCCCACAGTCGCCAGTGTCCTGGAGCTACAGAATCTGCATGCAAGGGAGTCTTTTTAACCACTGTCTTTCCCAAAGCTAAGCATGTAGGAGCACTGAAAATCACAAGTTGCTTCAAGAGAATGGCATGCAAGCTCCGTGTTGTACAATGGGACTTCACAGAAAACACAGCTTAAGTTGACCACGAATCATTTGCCCGCGCCTGTGCACAGGGAAAAGTAGATCGAGCTGAAAGGAAACACAAGCAGATCTGCATTGCTTCTTGCAATGCATCCACTATTATGATTATACCGTATTGGCCTGAATATAAGCCGCACCCAAATACAAGCAGCACCTTTAAAATTGATGGGGGGGAATAAAAAATAAAAAATACCCCAATATAAGTTGCTCCCTTCCTCGCTGCTCCTGGCTGCATACTGTAAGGTCGCAAATATAAGCCGCACTTTAACTTTCCGCAGTTGGAATTTGGGGAAAAAGTGAGGCCAATGTGGCAATTGTAAGATTACTTAACACGCATCGCATGCACAAAAAAACTCATACCAATAACTAACTTAGTTGGTCTCTAAGGTGCTACTGGAAGGAATTTTTCTATTATTTTATTTTATTTATTTTATTTTGTTTCGACTACAGCAGACCAACATGGCTACCTACCTGTAACTCGTTTAACTTAACACACATTTAACTTGTGCCATTTCAACCATACATGGTTGAAGGCTGCTTGAAGGGCTGAAATCCCACAAATTAAATGCAAGTAAGGCAGAGAGCTTAAACGCTCTTTTTGCGATGGGTTTTCCTGGTCCAGAAAAACCTTTTAAGCTCCCCACCTTACTTGGGAAGCAAGGCCCTCTCTGAGCACCAGGTCTGGGATGTTCCTGACAGCCCCTCAAGATCTTGCAAGAGCATCCTGGGACCTCCAGAAACAGCATGCAGAGAGCTCCTTGCTCCCAAAGCAAGGTAGAGAGCTTCAAACATCTTGCTAGACTAAAACTCCCATCATTTCTAGCAGAGGGCCTTGCTTCCTGCTGGAGCTACTGGACAATGGATTCCAACAACGTGGAACGTTCTTGCCCAATGGAGATTTCCAGGGATATGGCCATAGGTCAGTGGCAGAGTGCCTCCCTTGCAGGCAGACGGTCCCAGGTTCAAATCCTAGTGGCATCTCCAGGGAAAGATCCTGTGCCTGCAGAGGTGTTGCCAGCCCCATGATGCTTTTTGGTGTCTGGTGTGCATCTGGGTCCATTGCAGAAGCAACCCAAGAGATGGGCCTGGTCTAGGGCACTGTCTGGATATGGTCTGGATATAGTCTAAATATGGTCTGAAGCTCAACATCAAAAAAACTAAGATCATGGCCACTGGGCCCATCACTTCCTGGCAAATAGAAGGGGAAGAAATGGAGGCAGTGAGAGATTTTACTTTCTTGGGCTCCATGATCACTACAGATGGTGACAGCAGCCACAAAATTAGAAGACGCCTGCTTCTTGGGAGAATGACAAATGACAAATCTAGACAGCATCTTAAAAAGAAGAGACATCACTTTTCCAGCAAAGGTCTGTATAGTTCAAGCTATGGTTTTCCCAGTAGTGATGTATGGAAGTGAGAGCTGGACCATAAAGAAGACTGATCGCCGAAGAATTGATGCTTTTGAATTATGGTGCTGGAGGAGACTCTTGAGAGTCCCATGGACTGCAAGAAGATCAGACCGATCCATTCTGAAGGAAATCAGCCCTGAGTGCTCACTGGAAGGACAGATCCTGAAGCTGAGGCTCCAATACTCACCTCATGAGAAGAGAAGACTCCCTGGGAAAGACCCTGATGTTGGGAAAGATGGAGAGCACAAGGAGAAGGGGATGACAGAGGACGAGGTGGTGGGACAGTGTTCTCGAACCTACCAGCATGAGTTTGACCAAATTGCGGGAGGCAGTGGAAGACAGGAGTGCCTGGCGTACTCTGTTCCAGGGTGTCACAAAGAGTCGGACATGACTAAACGACTCAACAACAACACAACAACAACAACAACAACAACAACAACAACAGGGTCCCATCACTCACTGAAATACTGCATCAGGTTCTGATCTGTGATCTCCCCCGTCTCGCCCAGGTGCTCCCTGATCTTGGTGGCATCGCAGCCCGTTTCCTTGAACAGGAAGTCCACCGCCTGCTTTAGCTGGTCCAAGATCTTGCTGTTCTCTTTCAGCTTGTACTCGTACAGGTTGGCATCTTCCGTGGTCTTCTGCAGCTTATCCTGCGGGCCAAAGGAGAGGTGGTCAGGTGAAATATACTCGGAGTCGAGAGTGGATTTCATGCTCTTTATTCAGCTCATAGCGGTGAGGAGGAATGGAAGTTCCCCCAGAATGTCTGCTTTATATACATTATTTACACAATGGGCCCCACTTGATTGGCTAATTCCAGGATTCACCTGTAGGCCAATCAGGTTGCGGATTCAATTCCACCTGGACCTGGATTGGGTGGCTCCTGTGGACCAATCAGACTGCTGCATTATGGACCCTATTGTTCTAGGACCAATCAGACTGCTGCATTCTGAATCCTATTGTTCTAGGACCAATCAGACTGCTGCCTTTTGGATCCTATTCAACTCAGTACATAACATCAGGGCTGTTGGGATACTGCCGGGGAGATGGGGGCATCAGGCAGGCCCCCAGCTGGCTCCAGCCACCGGCCGGCAGCCGGACGATCACTGGTCTCCCTTGGAACAGCATCAATCAGCGACATGAGCCTCAGATACGTTTAGAGACCCGTGCACGCTCTATCAGCAGAGTGTGTAAATCTTCTCACAGCAGAAGAGGCGGACAGAGCCATGTGTAAGCAGTATATTACAGCACTTTATTCAGCAGCAGGAACAAAGGAAAAAACATGTCTGCTTCCCTTCGTGTCCAGCAAAACAGCAGCAATACAAAAGCTATATACAAACGGAAGTTCCTAGACTGTGCTGGAAGTAAACAGGCATGTGACACACAACAGTTATGCCTGTTCCCTTTTAAGGTTGAGCTCCCGTTGTTCGGTCCCTGCTCCTGCCAACCTAGCAGTTCGAAAGCACGTCAAGTGCAAGTAGATAAATAGGTACCACTCCGGTGGGAAGGTAAACAGCGTTTCCATGCGCTGCTCTGGTTCTCCAGAAGCGGCTTAGTCATGCTGGCCATATGACCCAGAAGCTGTCTGCGGACAAACGCCGGCTCCCTCGGCCTATAGAGCAAGATGAGCGCGCAACCCCAGAGTTGTCCGCGACTGGACCTAACAGTCAGGGGTAAAGGTAAAGGGACCCCTGACCATTAGGTCCAGTCGTGGCCAACTCTGGGGTTGCGGCGCTCATCTCGCTTTATTGGCCAAGGGAGCCGGCGTACAGCTTCCAGGTCATGTGGCCAGCATGACTAAACCGCTTCTGGTGAACCAGAGCAGCGCACGGAAACGCCGTGTACCTTCCTGCCGGAGCGGTACCTATTTATCTACTTGCACTTTGACGTGCTTTCGAACTGCTAGGTTGGCAGGAGCAGGGACCGAGCAATGGGAGCTCACCCCATCGTGGGGATTCGAACTGCCGACCTTCTGATCAGCAAGTCCTAGGTTCTGTGATTTAACCCACAGCGCCACCCGCGCCCCAGGCCCCCAAGAGAGTGGGGCCCCAAGCTATAGCTTGTTTAGCTTATATGTAAATCTGGCACTGTCTGCGTTGACTGATAGCAGCTCTCAACCCCTCCCGGGAGATGCCACTGGGCATTGAACCCGGGACACGCTGCCTCTGAGCTATGGGACTCAAAAGTCCCAAACGTTGCAGCCTTTCCCCACAGCGACGGGACCCCCCAGGTCAGCCCCACATGTGCCCCATTTACCTCCACTTCTTTCATGTTGCTGTGAACGATGTCTTCCGCCTTCTTGTGCTCGGATTTCAGCTTGCTGATTTCATTCTACAGAACACAGAAGGGCACAAAGGGGCTCAGGCAGAGAGTCCAGAACCTTTCCCCAAAAAATTGTGAGGGCCATATTTTCTCATTGGTAAGTTTCCGGGGGCCCACATGCAGCTGGTGGGCGGGGCCAGGGGCAAAAGTGGGTGGCGCAACATACGTAGCTCCTCCCTTTATCCTATGGGTGTCGCTCCAACCGCGCTAGATTTCCAGAAGTAGGGTGGAATCTAGGCACATATTTTAAAAATTGTGAAAGTGCTTTTTTAAAGAAACGTTTTGAAAAATATATTGAATTTGCCACAGCTCACCATCGCCATCTAGTGTCGCATTTGTATAATGCACCTTACAACACACGTTTTATTTGCAGCTGTATAGCTGAGTCCTCGATCTCACTTCCTCTGAAAGATCACATAAAATGTGAAAACTAATAGGTAAAGAAAAGTTGGAATTATGTGCCACCTGAGTGCAATGCTAGTCTTGAAAGAAGAAACCGTCTGTTGCCAATAGATATCCACTTATGCACGCAGGGGCCCAAAAGAGTTGGTGCCCCCTGCCTAGGTTGTATAATTATTAAGGACTGTAGGTCCATTAATTTCCATGGGTATTGATGATAATATAGCATAGCTGGTGATTAATCAGAGTAAAATATTTTACTCCTTTGCATGCTTATAGTTTTTATTTGTTTTATTTTTTCCCTTTCATCCTTTGCATGAATATGTATAAGCAAATGGAAATAACAAGATAAAATATTTTAATGGATGGATTAATCAGAGAATTCTGTTTTTGTTCCGGTAGCTGTCGATGTTGCAGGCTCCTTTTTAGAAGGAATCTGGTACGCATTCCAGGATTCATGGGTGGGTGTTGGTGAAAGCATTTTGAGAGCGTACATCAAGTGGTTTGGTCCAACTCATAGCTGTCAACTTTTCCCTTTTCTTGCGAGGAATCCTAATCGGAATAAGGGAATTTCCCTTTAAAAAAGGGAAACGTTGACAGCTATGGTCCAACTCCCAACCAAAAGAGTAGTTGGTGGTGATAGAGAGGTTTAGCCATCTTGTAGTCCCTTCACTGGCTACATGGTGGCAGCAATGAGTCAATTTTAGCTCCTGAAATATTTCTCTCACGCACATTCTTTATTTTATTATTATTGCAACTGATTTCTTAATCACCTCCCAAGCCACCATCTCAAGGCAATTTACACATAAAATAGTTAAAAACACTTAAAAACACACAAAAAAGGACGTTTAAAACAGTGTTTCCCAAATTTAGGTCTCCAGGTGTTTTTAAGACTACAACTCCCACCATCCCTGACCTGCTTCCTAGGGATGATAGGAGTTGTAGTCCGAAAACAGCTGGTGACCCAAGTCTGGGAAACACTGGCTTAAAGCAAAACAAAAACCCTAACAAGTAGAGACTTGTAGACCCTCTTATCTAGCTGGGAAAACCTGTTAGAACAAAAATGTCCTTGACTGCTTCTGGGAAGTACAGTGGACGCTCGGTTTGCAAACGTGATCCGTGCAGGAGACACATTCGCAACCCGCAGCGCCGTGTCTGTGCATGCGCCGGTTGTGATTTGGTCTTCTGCGCATGCGCAAAGCACAATTTAGCGTCTCCAACCCCATCATTCTGCCCAGACGCTGAGGTCCAGCGCCGAGGGCCTTCTGGCGGTTCCCTCACTGCGAGAAGCAAAGCTACAGGGAACCAGGCAGAGGGCCTTCTCGGTGGTGGCACCCGCCCTGTGGAACGCCCTCCCAACAGATGTCAAAGCGATAAACAACTACCTGACATTCAGAAGTTCAGGGAAGTTTTTAACGTGTGATATTTTAGTGTATTTTTGGTTTCTATGGAAGCCGCCCAGAGTGGCTGGGGAAACCCAGCCAGATGGGCGGGGTACAAATAATAAATTATTATTATATATGCGTGACCGCCAAAACCCAGAAGTAACCTGTTACGGTACTTCTGGGTTTCGGCACGTCCATAACCCAAAAAACCGCAACCTGAAGCATCTGTAACCCGAGGTATGACTGTACAAGGATGGAGGCCATTTCTTAAGCAACCCGCTTCTGAGCTGCGCAGGGCCTTAGATGGCAGTACCAGCATCTTGAATGTGGCCTTGTAGCAAACCGAGCCCAGAGCCCAGCTTGGGGAGCCAGGGCCAGAGGACCAGGGACCAGTGAGGGGCGTAGGAAGAGGGGGGAGGGCAGAGAGGAGACCTGGATGTCTTCAATCCTTTTCTGCAGCCTCTCCATGTCGTTGTTCAGTTCGGTGACATAGCTGAAGTAGGCAAAGTTCTTCTCCTCCTTCTCAATGAAATCCTCCACCAGCAGGTCTATGTCCCCGTTTTCCGTCAGCTTCAGCAGTCGCATGTAGGCAACCTCGTAACTCTCAAAGCTCTCCCCCTTGGTCTTGGCTCGCTTCTTGGCCTTGAGAGCTGGAAGGGATTCAAGGGGGAGGGTTCATAAAATTGTCTCTTGCCACCTCAATCTCTGAGGGGTGCAAGGCTCCAGGGGGTTCCAGGCACTTACCCAGGGATCCATCAGGAGTCCAGGTTCCCAGATTGATAACACAGTAAGCGTACATAATTAAAAAGGAGGATTTATTGCCAAGACAAACAGATAACTCCGGACGGCTCTAACAAAGCCTCCAGCATCATTACTCAAGATGACCCTTCTGAAGATTCCTTCCGGGATCTACAGAAGATATTGAACTTACCACTCTCACGTCTCTTGTTTTGCTTCCTGTCTAGCAGCCCTCCCATTCACCGACTCTTTGGACTGAGTGGATCAGCTCCACTCTCTCCCTGATCTGAGAGGCTGCCTCTGAGACTCTTCACACCTTTTTGTGCTTCCTACGAGCTTTGGCTGTGTTCTAGCCTGCTCTCAGCCACTGCCTTATCACCCATCAAGGTCAGGAAGAGCAGCAGTCTGCAGCGGCCGGCTCTCCCCTGCCTAACATCTAAGTCTCCCTGTTCCTGGCTGCTTTCTGCAGTTGGCTGCAAACCTTCACTGGGAGCTGGCTCATTCCTGACAGGTTCGTGTTTCCTTGCAGAATGTGGGACAGCAGAGACTATGGTTTATTTACACGTATATACAACCTGAGCCTAAGATAGAGGGGTTCATAGCATTAACGCCCCAAGAAGGTCTTGCTTCTCCCATAGCCACAGGCCTGGATTTAAACAGAAATCAAGCATGGCTCTCTCTCTGGCTTCTGCCTTTTCGGGCTCAGATCACACACACTCTTTGTCTTGGTCTTTCTTTCTTTTCTTTTTTAAAATGATATTTATTGAAAATTTTTAAAATTACAAAAGAGAACAAAGCAGAAAAAAAAGAAAGAAAAAACAAAGAAAAAACAAACCACATCAAACAATACAAATTCAAAAAACAAAAATACACCACAAACACTCAAAAACAAATCCATCATTCTCGAATCCTCAACTGTCATTACCTTCTTTCTTTGACCTCCTCCTCCTCCCTTTTTTTGTATCCTGGTTGTTAACTGTCGCAGCAAATCCTTTCCATATTTCATAATATTCCGTCATTACATTACCTTAATCTATTTTAATCTTATCTTACTATAAAGAACCTTAAAGCTTAAAACTTAAATCTTATTTTTACCAACTTCTCATAACCATAATATTCTTACATAATTCTTTAAACATTTTTGCTAAAGCCAAGTAATTTCGTTCCAACATTTTTCTAACATTCATCAATTTTATAAAACAATCCTAGTAGTAAAAAAAAAAGAAATAAAAACAATCTGTACTGGATTGTTTGTCTTGGTCTTTCTCACCACCAGCCAGGTGAAGGAGGGGACCCACCCATTTGCCCTCCGGCACAAAGCTACTTCCTTTGTTCTACAAAGGACTATACTTAGGTGGATCTTGTGCCCTTTGCTTGGCTAACTCAACAGCGGAATCCTCCATTTGATTTTTGACCCTTGTTGGATCCGGGACCCCAAGAATTGCAGGAGCCTCGGGCATCAAGCCGGTTAACTTGCTCCCACTGACTCACAACACTCATGAAAAAACATCACTGCAGGATCACATTCACCGGGTGCAATACCAGCTGCACTGACTCCTAGTGGAGTACAGGATCAGGTTTAAGGTGCTGGTTTTAACCTTTAAAGCCCTATATGGCCTAGGACCCTCGTACCTACAGGACTGCCTCTCCTGGTATGTCCCACGGAGGATCTTACGGTCTTCAAACAAAAACATCTTGGAGGTCCCGGGCCACAGGGATGTTAGGCTGGCCTCAACCAGAGCCAGGGCTTTTTCAGCTGTGGCCCCGATCTGGGGGAACGCTCTGTCACAAGAGACTAGGGCGCTGCGGGACTTGACATCTTTCTGCAGGGCCTGCAAGACAGAGCTGTTCCACCAGGCCTTTGGCCAAGGCATAGTCTGACCCCCCTCTTCACAGAACTCTAGCCCAATGGTTGCCATCAATTTGATTTGAACTGATTTTATGATGAATTGATTTTAGAATGCTGTATTATTTTACTGTTGTTAGCTGCTCTGAGCCCGGCTTTGGCTGGGGAGGGCGGGATATAAATAAAATTTTATTATTATTATTATTATTATTATTATTATTATTATCATCATCATCAATTGCTCAACCCACTAAAGGCAGCAATTAAGGAGCTGAAATTTAAAGTCATGGAAGCTGTGGTGTCAAGCAACCAAACAGGCTGGGATAAGAGCCAGTTTCATGACTGCACCATGACTGAATACCGCCCACAGAATCCGTCCTCTCGCTTTCAGCAGCCAGTGTGTTCTGCTTCACACATTCAGGGGCCCAAAGGCTGAGCAACTGGCTAAAATATACAAAGCAGACCCTAACAGCAGAAATTTTAAATCTATTCTTTTCATAAATACAGGAGTGTCATCAGCAAGCCTTTAAATCATAACTTTAAAGCATATTGTTGTAAGAATTCTAAAGTCCCAAATATAAAATAAATGTTTATAAATGTACAAGGCAAACACACACACAAGTATATAAACCACATGTCTGAAATAGTACAGGAGAGCAATCCTGAAGCCATTTTTACTCTCCCAAATCGACCTCAATATATTTATCTGCAAGGAGGGAGGAAATGAGGAAAACCTTCCCTTTGTCTTTTTGCTTACAAATCTTGTCTGAAAGACGTATTTGTGTATGAATAAGGTGAGCCCATGACCTGGATTCAGGAACTAAAAGTATTAACCATCACAAAAGAATGGCCAGGCTGCCCAGGTAAAGCAATCAGCGACCATTAACAGGTATCCTGGCAAACAGGATTTCTGTTGTAGACCGCCTCCTTCTGTGATGTATGTATGATGTTTTTTGGGGTGGTCTTGAGCTACAGGGTGGGCAATTTCAAAAGTCTTTAGAAGGGCTTGCACACCATTGTTCTGGGTTCCTCCTCCCTCCTGCGTGTAGTGAGTGAGGACCCTGTTGCAACAGATCAATAAAGATCAGGCTTACTAGCTGCTTTGCTTCTCAATATTCTCTGGTTGGCCTCTGTTATGTTCTCCTACGGATAGGGAACCCACTTAAGGACTCTATATGGGCTCTTGGATTCCCCATAAGGGGGGGAAAGGGCAGATTTTTGTTTACAACAACGCGTGGTACCTTCTTCCTTTTTGGCCTGCTCCTCAAATTCCGAGCGGTCCACCAGCTTGATGAGCATGAACGCCTTCAGCTTGGTCTCGTGGTTGTAGATCCGCTCCAGCTCCCGAAACTCAATGTTGAACTGCGCAATGTCCTTGCAGCGCCGCTCCTTCATCGCAGAGATCCTGGCAAGGGCCTCCACCCTAGAAGCGGGCAGAAGTGGTGGTGACGGGGAAATCATAGAATCAGACAGTTGGAAGGGGGTCCCCAAAGGTCATCTAGTCCAACCCCCTGCAATGCAGGAAAATGCATGTTCAGAAATAAGACAGGAACACAGGGATGCTGCTTTTAACAGTCACACCACTGACCCATCTGGTTCAGTGTTGTCTACATTGACTGGTTTTTGAATTATGGTGCTGGAGGAGACTCTTGAGAGTCCCATGGACTGCAAGAAGATCAGACCTATCCATTCTGAAGGAAATCAGCCCTGAGTGCTCACTGGAAGGACAGATCCTGAAGCTGAGGCTCCAATACTTTGGCCACTTCATGAGAAGAAGACTCTTGGAATAGACCCTGATGTTGGGAAAGATGGAGGGCACAAGGAGAAGGGGATGACAGAGGACGAGATGGTTGGGCAGTGTTCTCGAAGCTACCAGCATGAGTTTGACCAAACTGCGGGAGGCAGTGGAAGACAGGAGTGCCTGGCGTGCTCTGGTCCAGGGGGTCACGAAGAGTCGGACAATGACTAAACCACTAAACAACAACAACGACTGGTAGCATCTCTATGGGGTTTCGGGTGGGGGGCAGGGCGGATCCCAGGATTTGAACCTGGCGGGATTTGAACCTGGGACCGGCTGCTCTCACCTTTGCTCATAGGCTTGCGTCGATTGCTCAATAGACAAGTCCATCGTCTTCCTCTGCTGTTCTAGCTGTTTGTGAAGCCGGGAGTAGATGGTATCGAAGACAGACTTCTGGCACTGGAGATTCTCTATCTCCTCGCGGAGTTTGGCATTGGTGATCAGGATGGTGTCAAAATACACCGTGACCTGGAAAGAGCAAAATGAGGAAGGGGTTGAATCCTGACAAGACAGAAGTACTGTTTTGGGGGGACAGGGGGTGGGTGGGTATGGAGGACTCCCTGGTCCTGAATGGGGTAACTGTGCCCCTGAAGGACCAGGTGTGCAGCCTGGGAGTCATTCTGGACTCACAGCTGTCCATGGAGGCGCAGGTCAAATCTGTGTCCGGGGCAGCTGTTTATCAGCTCCATCTGGTACATAGGCTGAGACCCTACCTGCCTTCAGACTGTCTTGCCAGAGTGGTGCATGCTCTAGTTATCTCTCGCTTGGACTACTGCAATGCACTCTACGTGGGGCTACCTTTGAAGGTGACCCGGAAACTACAACTAATCCAGAATGCGGCAGCCAGACTGGTGACTGGGAGCGGCCGCCGGGACCACATAACACCGGTCTTGAAAGACCTACATTGGCTCCCAGTACGTTTCCGAGCACAATTCAAAGTGTTGGTGCTGACCTTTAAAGCCCTAAACGGCCTCGGTCCAGTATACCTGAAGGAGCGTCTCCATCCCCATCGTCCAGCCCGGACACTGAGGTCCAGCACCAAGGGCCTTCTGGTGGTTCCCTCCCTGCGAGAAGCCAAGTTACAGGGAACCAGGCAGAGGGCCTTCTCGGTAGTGGCGCCCGCCCTGTGGAATGCCTTCCCATCAGATGTCAAAGAGAAAAATAACTACCAAACTTTTAGAAGACATCTAAAGGTAGCCCTGTTTAGGGAAGCTTTGAATGTTTAATAGGTTATTGTATTTTAGTGTTTTGTTGGAAGCCGCCCAGAATGGCTGGGGAAACCCAGCCAGATGGGTGGGGTATAAATAATAAATTATTATTATTATTATTACTGTCCTAAACTGCAAAACCTTCTTCCTGCAAAGAGGTGCTGAACCACCTTGGCATAAGTCTGTGCCATCTCGTGGAATAGTTGTGATTTTAGATCGGGTGTTGTTTTTTAATACGTTTACTTTGGCTGGAATTCGAGGGCACATCCCAGGAAGATGTGGAGCAGAGGTAGCGAGAGTTGTGACCCACAGAGAGGGAATGTGGCTTGGGGAGAGACATGAGGGCCAGAAAGAACCTTGGAGGGCCACATTTGGCCCCTGGGTCTGAGGTCCCCCATCCCTCCCACCCAGTTTTTCTCTCCACTCTCAGGATCCTGTGCCACTGAGATCTTCTGGGGATATTGTGCAACATTTTCTCCTCCTTGGGATTCCGCCCCCAAATAAATAAATGGGTCCTTCTACAAAACCTGGGGTCCCCACAAGTCTGCTGGTCCTTCCCTCGTGTGTGTGTGATGGCCTGGGATTCAGACTCGGATGCTGAACCTGAGGAATCCCAGCCTGCACAGGATTCCCTGCCTCCAGAACCAGCTGAGCCGGGGCTGGGGCATGAGCCTGAAGGGCCCTCACCCGTGCTGGGTCCTCAGGTGCAGGCACCAGCTGAGTCTGCTCTGGCTCCTGAGGTGATGGAGGACCCATTGCCTGCAGGTGCTCCACTCTCAGCCCCGTCAGAGGAAGCTGAGGTTGCCTCTGGGTCCGGTAACCCTCCAGCCTCTCCTGAGCTGCAGAGGCTCAGGGCAGAGAGGCGGAGGGAATTAAGTTCCCACAGGAGGAGTGCTCGCCTCCAGGCCAGGAGATGTGAGTCACCAGAGGATCGGGGCCGCCCTAGGCCTTGGGGCAGATAAAAGCCAGCCAGCCCCAGTCCCAAGTTGCGGGAGCAACATTGTTAGGTGCTAGATCCTGCCTGAACCCTGTCCTGCTTTCCTGCCTGAGCTCCTGACCCGCCCTGGCTCCCTGCTTGCATGCCTGTCCCTGACTTCACCCAGCTCCCTGCCCTGCACCCAGCTTCAGCTACTAAGGACTGCCTCCACGTTGCACCTTTGACCACGGACCGGACTTGGACCTCGCCTCTCGGGTAACCCACGGGACCAGCACAGTGTGTATGTATTGCAGAATGCTCCCCTGAAGCTTGGGAGCAGAATTGTGCTGGTCCCGGGGGTAAGGTACCTTGGGTGTAGCAGAGTCCACACGAAGAGGGGCAAGGTCCGAGGCAGAGAGCCGGGCGGGGAACAGGAATGCTGGAACAGGAGGCTGTGCAGGGAACAGGAACACCGGATGGTCGGGAACAGGAGGCCGAGCAGGGAACAGGAGTACCGGATAGTCAGGAACAGGAAGCCGAGCAGGGATCAGGAACACAGGAAGGTCCGAAGCCAACAACGACGTTGCTCCCGCAACCTGGGGCCGGGCTGACTGGGCTTTATCCTCTTCTAAGGCCAGGGGCGGTCCCGGTCCCCAGGAGCCCGCCTCCTCTGGCCTTAAGGCGAGCACTCCTCCTGGGGGCAACCAGTTCCCTTCGCCTCTCTGCCCTAAGCCTCTGCAGATCAGGAGAGGCCGAAGGGTTACTGGGCCCTGGAGGAGGCTCACCTGTGGCCACTGAGTCATCAAGCCCTCTGGGGCCCGAAGGGCTTCACCTGGGGCCAGCTCCTGATGCACTGCCACAGGTGCAGGCTCTTCAGCATCAAGGCCTTGCCCCAGTTCAGCCGGCCCTGGAGGCGGGGACTCCTGTGCAGGCCGGGATTCCTCTGTTTCATCCTCCGAATCGGAATCCCAGGCCATCACAAGAATATAAACAGTTCCCTCTGCTTTTAACTGGGTTTATAATGTTTGTTTTTCGCAGGGGGTGAGATTATTTCATTGCCACCTCCCGGAGGAGGCAGACTCTGGTTCTCAGCAGAGGCAGAAGGTGTGGGACTCAGGAGGGGGGGCCTGGACCAGCAAAGGCGGGGGGGGGGGGCACAGCTCACGTGGTTGAGTCGGTTGTCCAAGAGCTGGATCTGTTTCTGCAGCCACCTGCCGTCATACTCCTGCCTCATTTTGATGACAAGCATTTTCTGTTTCTTAATCTTGTTCTCCAGTTCCGTGATCTGAAACAAAAGAGATCCATGAAGACCTTTATATGGATAGCTCAGGACCAGTTTACCCGCTTTGAATAGGAGGAACGTAAGCTGCCTTGAAGACGCGGGTGGTGCTGTGAGTTAAACCACAGAGCCTAGAACTTGCCAATCAGAAGGTCAGCGGTTCGAATCCCCGCGACGGGGTGAGCTCCCGTTGTTCGGTCCCTGCTCCTCCCAACCTAGCAGTTCGAAAGCACCTCAAAGTGCAAGTAGATAAATAGGTACCGCTCTGGCGGGAAGGTAAACGGCGTTTCCGTGCGCTGCTCTGGTTCGCCAGAAGCAGCTTAGTCATGCTGGCCACATGACCCGGAAGCTGTACGCCGGCTCCCTTGGCCAATAAAGCGAGATGAGAGCCGCAACCCCAGAGTCGGTCACGACTGGACCTAATGGTCAGGGGTCCCCTTACCTTTATGATACTATGACTCTAGGCTTTCTGCTTGCAGCAAACTAGAAAGCCAAAAATACAAGCCAATTTCAGGGTGTGCGCACCAGACCTCACACCCCTCCCGGCACCTTGCACCTTCCATTTCCCACCATGCACCTTGTCATCCAGTTCCGAGATCAAGGCCTTGGTGGCTCTGATGAGGGCGTCATACTCGTCTTTGGTCTGCAAAAGAAATTTAAGCTCCATGCAGTTGCGGTCGTCGATGAAAAGGTTCCGAGGCGACTTGGTGAGGCTCAGAAGTAAATTGATCTCGTCGTGCTCTTGTTTCAAGGCGTGGATTTGCCTCCTGCGGCAGAGGAGGGAAAGGGGTTAAGAGTGTGCATCCTCACAACAAACACTGCACAGACGCACCAATGGAGGCTCACAACTGAGCCGTGCGTTTGGTAATACTTCTCCGCACAACGGGACGCATGTGCAAGGGGGGTGGGGTTCACCTACATGGCTTTAAAAGGAGATGGGGTGGATCCGTAAAAAGTGGCAGCCAATGGCCATCAGGAACGAAAGCAGAGCCTCCATGTACAGGAACAGTGCGCCTCAAATACTGGACGCTGGAACCAACTCATAGTGGGAGGCTATCGTCTTAATGCCAGTGGGCATCTGAAAGAGGGGATCTAGTCCGGAAAAGGGGTCTGGGGCTGGTGAGATTGATCTGAGTCAATGTGGCAATATGTACCAAGGACCTTCCTTCAGCCCCAAACAGAACAGGTACAATATGGTGGTTAAGGAATGTGCACTATGGAGAAGAGGGAGGTGAGTTCCCAAGGAGTTGTTGGGAAAATGAGCCGCCACTGTGCTGAGATTGCTTTTTCTTTAGGATTAGTTTTAAATGCCTTCTTAATGTTTCCGTAGTGGGACGTGGGTGGTGCTGTGGGTTAAACCACAGAGCCTAGGACTTGCCAATCAGAGGGCCAGCAGTTCGAATCCCCATGACGGGGTAAGCTCCCGTTGCTCGGTCCCTGCTCCTGCCAACCTAGCAGTTCGAAAGCAGGTCAAAGTGCAAGTAGATAAATAGGTACCGCTCTGGCGGGAAGGTAAACGGCGTTTCCGTGCGCTGCTCTGGTTCGCCAGAAGCAGCTTAGTCATGCTGGCCACATGACCCGGAAGCTGTACGCCGGCTCCCTCGGCCAATAAAGTGAGATGAGCGCTGCAACCCCAGAGTCGGTCACGACTGGACCTAATGGTCAGGGGTCCCTTTACCTTTACCTAACATTTCCGTAGTTTTTCTATAGGAGAGATTTTTTATTTTATTTTTTTGTCAATAGCGCATCTGCAGTGATCATTAAAGCTTCTGGTGGAAACCGTGATGTAATTCCATGTCCTTCATCAGATGGGAGCCAGGACAGGTGGGGGTCTGGGGCAAAAAAAACACACGAATTTGGCACCTTTGCCCTTGAAAAGCAAGGACTATACTCCTGGGGATAGTTCCGAGGGCCAAACAGGGAGACCCGGGGTCCGCATTTGGCCCCTGTGCCTGAGCTTCCCCACCTCTGGTCCCTGTGGCCGTCCCTTCATGTGGCCGCCCCCTCGCAAAACTCTGCCCCACTTACTCCTGCTGGAACAACTGCCGTTGAGTCTTGATCCCAAAAGACTTCCTATTCTCCACCATGATCCGGAACTGTTGCTGCAGCTTCCTCAGCTCAATCTCGGCCATCATCTCTTTCTCCTTCTCCGTGTAGTCAGAGTTCTCACTCCTGGTGCGGGATTGTTTCCGGCGCTGCGGATCAGGGCAGATCAGTAGGGAAGGGGGAAAGAGAGGGGAGTGGGGTCTGTTTTAAGCTCAAAAGGCTCAAACCTCCCTGTCCATGGAGGCGCAGGTCAATTCTGTGTCCAGGGCAGCTGTTTATCAGCTCCATCTGGTACGCAGGCTGAGACCCCACCTGCCCACAGACTGTCTTGCCAGAGAGGTGCATGCTTTAGTTATCTCCCGCTTGGACTACTGCAATGCGCTCTAAGTGGAGCTACCTTTGAAGGTGACCCGGAAACTGCAACTAATCCAGAATGCGGCAGCTAGACTGGTGACTGGGAGCAGCCGCCGAGACCACATAACACCCGTCTTGAAAGACCTACACTGGCTCCCAGTACGTTTCCGAGCACAATTCAAAGTGTTGGTGCTGGCCTTTAAAGCCCTAAACGGCCTCGGTCCAGTATACCTGAAGGAGCGTCTCCACCCCCATCGTTCTGCCCGGATGCTGAGGTCCAGCACCGAGGGCCTTCTGGCGGTTCCCTCATTGCGAGAAGCAAAGCTACAGGGAACCAGGCAGAGGGCCTTCTCCGTAGTGGCGCCCGCCCTGTGGAATGCCCTCCCTTCAGATGTGAAGGAAATAAGTAGCTATCTTATCTTTAAAAGACATCTGAAGGCAGCCCTGTTTAGGGAAGTTTTTAATATTTTATGCTGTATTGTTTTTAACACTTGATTGGAAGCCGCCCAGAGTAGCTGGGGAAACCCAGCCAGATGGGCGGGGTATAATAAATTATTATGATGATGATGATTCCTATATATCTCCCACCAACAAAAGCCATTTGATGGGGCTGAAGCATAGCAGGTGCCCTACCCTATTGGGAATCCCACAAGCGCCCGGCCCCCCGGCCCCAGCTTCCAAAATCCCAGTAGAGAAAGAAAAGCATCTTCCTATTTGGGCAGTTTTAAAACAGCAGCAGCAACAGTGGAGAACTCAGAGGGGAGGAAACAAAACCACCTTTTTCTGCTGTCAGAGAGGGAGATCATCTGACATCCTTCGGAAGAGAGTTTCAGAGCTCTGGGGCTACGACAAAAAAGGCCCTGCATCCCATGGCAGCCAATCCATTTAAGAGTTGGAACCTGAAGTTGCCTGATCTGAAATTGCGTGTCAGGTGTGTAACCACAGCGCAGACCAGCAATTATGAGTAAAAAAACCAAAACCTGCATGTGGAAACAGCCTCATGGTACCAATGACATGGTACCAATGTCAACTTTTCAATATAGGGTAAGACGTTGGTGACAGCCTCAGCCCATCAATAAATGTGCTGTGAAATTAAACACAAGATGTCTTTAAGAGTCATCCCACATGGAACAATTTACAGCAGTCTAAGAGTTACCAAAGTAGTTCCAGTAGCCATTTTAGTCAACGCCTTCATTCTCTCTCCTGTTGATGTCAATCGCCTCCGTCAAGCAAAACGAAGGTAATATGTTTCTTTTAGGAAGACCCGTGCCCTGAAAAGAACAGCAAATGTACATTCGGAAGCGAGACCCCACCAGCAATTGCTCCATCGTACTGGCAAATTTGGTCCTCGCCCCCTTTCCTCTGCTTCCCTTAAAGCGAAATCACCCCAGATGGCTCTGCCGGCTTAACGGGAGAACATTATCCTGATGGCATCACAGAGCTTGTTCTCCTTCTATAATGAGGGGGTGCAACAGATGGCTCAGCTTTGTCCAACCCATTCAGGACTTGGGTTTCCATAGAAATGACAAGAGAGCACGTACTGGTGGGGGCACAAACCTTCTTCTTGCCATTTCTATGGAAACCGACCCATTCCAAGCGGGTCAGTATAGACATTTTGTTAGGTCTTGGCATGAAGGAGTTGCAAGGTTGACTGACGTTTGCCAAGCCCAGAATTTGTGAGCAGGTGAGGGCGGGGTGTGTGTGTCATTTAGTCTATTTACACCTGAACTCATCAGGTACTGCCCACACACTTCCAATCACCGTTGGAGTCTCATGGCAGTGTGGTGCAGTGGTTAGAGTCTTGGGCTAGGACCTGGGGGAAACCAGGGTTCAAATCCCCCCACTTGAGCCACGAAGCTCACTTGATGATCTGGGGGGGGGGGTGTTTCAGTCCCTGCCTCTCAGTCTAACCTACCTCACAGAATTGATGTGGGGATTAAATGAGGAAGGGGGGAAGAATGGCAGATGAAGTGGATGGATTATCCTGAAAAGGGCTAAAATGACCGGAAGAACCAGAAATCAGGAAGACCAAACTTTTAATTAGGAATGGAGGGAAATTCTAATTTATCCTAAAAACCATTGTAAACAGCTAAAATCCACCTGGGTCTAGGGGTTGAGGCCCTGACTCACCAGCTCTAACGAAGAGGTTTAATATGCTGTAGACCGCTTTGAGATTTTTATTAAAAATACAAAGCAGTATAGAAATAAATAAATAATTGTTAGTAGGGTTGGAATAACACTTGTAGTTTAATGGTGAATGTTGGACATAAAGGAGATGTAAAAGATTTGGATTATCATAAAAGATGCAGGAGGAAATGATTAACAGTAGGACCCACAAAGGGGAGGAGGGAAGTCCAGCAGATGGATTATGTGATTGTAAAACTTTAATCTGAAAAAATCAAACAAATAAATTTATTTTTTTAATAAATAAAAAAAATGAGGAGGGGGAGAACCATGTATGCCACCTTGAGCTCCTGGAAGAAAAAAGTGGGATATACAGTAAATGCAATACCTGTAAATTAATAATAATAATAATAATAATAATAATAATAATAATAAATGCGTCTCTCATTTCAACTGCACTGACCGCTTGGATCCACCCTCCCTCCTGCTTTTTTTGCAGCATAGAAACTGTAAACTTCTGGGGGCAGGGACCTTAGCTATGCTGCTTTTGAAAGAACCGTGAATATCGATCGCATAAATAAGGGAAAAATTAGGAGAGGCTTTATGGGGAAAGAGGGCTCAGATGTGATTGACAACAATTATTTGGACAAGCCACAGGGGGAGAAGGAAGGGGAATAACGGAGCCTGGGCTAAGTAGAAGCCTCACTTTCCTCCGGGCACCAGCCGCAGCGCTACCTCCCTTCTTCTGCGGGACAGGATCTCGCAAGCGTCTTCTTCCAACCGCCGCGCAACTTGCGCGACGGCGGACTCCTCTACCTTCCTTTCAGAAAGGGAAAATGCTGATCTTCCAAAGGGCAGAAAATGAGGCCAGCGTCGGCGTCCCCTGCTTTCGCCCGCCTCCCCCTCCGCTTGCAGCAGAAGCGCCTCGCTTACTAGAACGCGCCCCGCGGAGAGTTCCGCGCACAATGCGGAATCCGATTGTGAGCGGGCAGCTTCTGATTGGCTGGGGCGCGGGCGTTCCGCGGGGTGGGCGATCCTCACCATGACCCGATTTCTCATTGCGTTGAGGTTTACGGACCGAGCTTGATCTGACCCATGGCTCAGCACCAGGAACTAGGATTTAACCCCTAATCCCAGAAAATGCGCAGTGAATCTTTCCTAGTGTGAATCCTCAAGATTGAAAGCAGGACCGTGGAGACCAACCTTGACAGTTTTGCCCTTCATGCATCTGCAATAAACCAGGATGCTCTGCGCCAACGATGCTCTGACAATGACTACTAACCATGACTGATGGAGACTAATTTCTACTTCGACAGAAGCAGCAACGCTTCTGAGTACCAGTGGCCGGAAGCCCCAGTTGTCCTCCCTGGAGAAGGATTGGACCTGGGACGTTCTGCTTGCAAAGCAGACACCCTGAGCTACGGCCCTTGCCCTCACACACTGCACAAGCACATTTACAATTACCTGGCTGGGTGTCTTTGCACATTTTTGGTTTTGTGAGAAACAAGGTGCATTAGTAGCTCTCTGTGTGCATGCCCTGGCTGGTGTTTTATGGGTGCAATAGAATTGACAGATTAGAAAGCAGTGACACCCCCCCCCAAAAAAAGAGGAATAAAAAGGTAAAGGGACCCCTGACCATTAGGTCCAATCGTGGCCAACTCTGGGGTTGTGGCGCTCATCTCGCTTTATTGGCTGAGGGAGCGGGTGTACAGCTTCCGGGTCATGTGGCCAGCATGACTAAGCCGCTTCTAGCAAACCAAAGCAGTGTATGGAAACGCCATTTACCTTCCCACCAGAGTGGTACCTATTTATCTACTTGCACTTTGACATGCTTTTGAACTGCTAGGTTGGCAGGAGCAGGGACCGAGCAACGGGAGCTCACCCCGTCGCGGGGATTTGAACCGCCGATCTTCTGATTGGCAAGTCCTAGGCTCTGTGGTTTAACCCACAGCGCCACCCGTGTCCCACAAAAGAGGAATGCCTCCTGGTATGAACAGGAAAAGACAGAAGTTGGTCCCCATACACAAATGCAAGCGTGTGCAGGTTTGGTCTGCCGTACTCCCATCTAATTTCAAGGCGTGGATGGACAGGCAAATGATGCTCAAATGTGGGCAAGCCCTGAATCAACCTTCCCAAGCAGATGGGCTGGCTGAGGATGGAGGGAACTGCAGTGCAAAACACCCAGAAAGCACCATCTAAATAAAAAGAGCCAAGAGACTGAACTATAAACTGGAAAGTCCCCAGTTTGCCAGGCACCTTTGCTGCAAACTCACTAGGAGTCCTTAGTTGAGCCTCAGTCTTCCCATCTACATTATGGGGCTAATAATAATACCGGTCTGTCATACAGGGCCGTGTTAGGGGCTACATGATAATGTAGGCTAAATTGTTAAAGGGGTAAATGGCCCTTGGCACTGTGGTCTAAACCTCTGTGCTGCTTGGACTTGCCGATCAGAAGGTCGGCAGTTCGAGGCCCCGCGACGGGGTGAGCTCCCGTTGTTCAGTCCCTGCTCCTGCCCACCTAGCAGTTCGAAAGCACGTCAAAGTGCAAGTAGATAAATAGGTACCGCTCCAGCGGGAAGGTAAACGGCGTTTCCATGCGCTGCTCTGGTTTCGCCAGAAGCGGCTTAGTCATGCTGGCCACATGATCCAGAAAAACTGTTTGCGGATAAACGCCGGATCCCTCGGCCTGTAAAGCGAGATGAGCACCGCAACCCCAGAGTCGTTCGCGACTGGACTTAACTGTCAGGGGTCCCTTTAACTTTACCTTTATTAGGATGAGAGTCAGGGTCGTATGAAATATTGTCTCTCTATTCTTGCAATTTACATTTTATTTTGCAATTACAGTGTCTAAGAAGAGCCTTCCCCCCTGCTATTCTGCATATAGTTGCAGTGCACTGTCTATCTAGGGTGTGTGTGTGTGTGTGTGTGTGTGTGTGTGTGTGTGTGCACGCGCAAACAACAGTCCTTTGTGCCACAACTTCTATGGATCCTATTCTCCATTGTTTGCCGGCATTGGACCAAACAGTCAATGGACTTGTCAGGAAAGGAAATGATGCGGTCAAGTGTCTCTTTATGTTTCTCACTTACAGAAAACATTTGCTTGGGCCACAGAAAAGGGCTTCTCTTTGCTTTCCATCTCAAACAGTACAGAACTGTCAGGCTTTGCTGGGAAGTGAAGTGACTTCATTGCTTCAGCACTCCTCCCGGGATGCTTCTCAGCGAAACCACCACCACTGTGAATGAGCAGTGTGTGTGTGTGTGTGTGTGTGAATGAAGCATCTGAATCCAAAAGGGCTGGGAGGGGGTTGCCTTGCCTTTTGATGCAAGCAGAGGAAACTGAACGCTGGGAGATTCAGGACAGACGAAAAGAAGCAAATCTTCTGTTTTGGTCGCCTCGCCTCAAACAGGATACGATATTTTGTAATTACCGTATTTTTTGCTCTATAAGACTCACTTTTTCCCTCCTAAAAAGTAAGGGGAAATGTGGGTGCGTGTTATGGAGCGAATGCAGGCTGCGCAGCTATCCCAGAAGCCAGAACAGCAAGAGGGATTGCTGCTTTCACTGCCCAGCAATCCCTCTTGCTGTTCTGGCTTCTGAGATTCAGAATATTTTTTTTCTTGTTTTCCTCCTCCAAAAACTAGGTGCGTCTTGTGGTCTGGTGCGTCTTATAGAGCGAAAAATACGGTAGCTGATTTTCAGTGACTGCCCGAAGCACATCTAATCGGTATGTGGATGCCACAAAGAATGGGAAAAAGAGAAGCCGCTCCAAATCCACATCAAACCTCCGTGTGGATGAGCCTTATTGTTGTGAAGATATGCTTGGAAACGGGAGGACAGTGAAGCCTCAGAGGTCCGAGAGGTTAGGGAATCAGAGGCTGTGCAGAGAATTTTAACGTTGCCTGGGCTTTCCACAGCTCTGCATTTACATTCCTTCTGTTCCTATTACAACAGCCCTGTAAGTCAGGTCAGTATTATTGTACCCATTTTGCAGATGCTGCAGTAAAGGCGAAGAGATTGAGGTTCCCGCAAGACCATGGGGACTGCAGTTCTTATGACCGGTGAGAGTTCCTATTCAGTTCCGTTCAATGGGACTGGGTTGGAGGCAGGAGAAATTGTCTCCCTTTATCCCGTCAGAGACTGGGTGCCAGCATCTGCAGGCTTTTGCTTGCAGTCAATTCCTGCACGGATAGCTTTCCCTTTGCAGGTTCTGCTTCATTCTAATACTTTGCCCATAGCCCAGTGTTTTCATTTCAGCTCCTGGCCGCAGTTGCTTCTGTTCCCTCCAGCTTGCAGAGAGCCATTTCAGATGGTGTCTTATTTTTCCGCTTGGTACTGAAGTTCTCTCACTGTTCCAGCTGGCTTGTTCCCTTGTTAATGGGCACAGTTGCTCCCAGTACCCACAATGGAGGATGTTTGGCTTCCTTTCTAGAACTGAATTGCTGCACAGTGCCTTAGTGGCTCCAGTCTAGCATAGCTAGTGGTGGCGGGGTAACACAACTGAGAAAGGACTCTCTGCTTTTCATACAACTCCGCTGCAGCCACTGATATTGCAGAAGAGGCAAGTTGCTTACACAATGAAACTGGGAGGTGGCTTGCCTCTTCAGCAGTTGTTGGGAGCTCAAAAGAAAACTGAAGGTTCACCAGCATTTCCTCCTATTATTTTCACCACAACCTTGGGGTCCGCGTGCCTCAACCAGTTTGATGTGCGGAACTGGAACTGTTACATGTGCCACATAATATTCGCTCCACATCTTTAAGAAACTGCATTTTTTTTACTTACATAAAACAGAGCCATCACCTTGCCAACAAAGGTCTGTATGGTTAAAGCTATGGTTTTCCCAGCAGTGATGTATGGAAGTGAGAGCTGGATCATAAAGAAGGCTGATCGCCGAAGAAGTGATGTTTTTGAATTCTGGTGCTGGAGGAGACTCTTGAGAGTCCCGTGGACTGCAAGAAGATCAAACTGATCCATTCTGAAGGAAATCAGCCCTGAGTGCTCACTGGAAGGACAGATCCTGAAGCTGAGGCTCCAATACTTTGGCCACCTCATGAGAAGAGAAGACTCCCTAGAAAAGACCCTGATGCTGGGAAAGATGGAGGGCACAAGGAGAAGGGGACGACAGAGGACGAGATGGTTAGATAGTCTTCTCGAAGCTACCAGCATGAGTTTGACCAAACTGCGGGAGGCAGTGGAAGACAGGAGTGCTCTGGTCCATGGGGTCACGAAGAGTCGGACACGACTAAATGACTAAACAACAACAGGTAGCCATGTTGGTCTGCTGTAGTCGAAACAAAATGAAAAAATTCCTTCCAGTAGCACCTTAGAGACCAACTAAGTTTGTTATTGGTATGTGTGCATGCACACAAAAGCTCAAACCAATAACAAACTTAGTTGGTCTCTAAGGTGCTACTGGAAAGATTTTTTTCATTTTTTTTAGTTTACCAGCACCCACACTTTGGAACTCCCTGCCTATTGACATCAGGCACGTTCCTTGGCTATACTCTTTTCAGCACCTGCTGAAACATTGCAGAACATTGATGTGTGTTTTAATCTTTTTTAAAATTTACCACTGATCTTACTTTTCTGAATGTTTTAAAATAGTCATTTTTAACTGTTTTTACTGATATTGTGTTTGTCTTATTCTTTTTTGCAAAACATTTTGCCTTTTTTTTTTTCAAGCAAACAGTGTAAGCATACTGAGAAATAAAATAATTAAATAAAATCTCTGGGGACCTGGATTGCGGTTTAGCAGCCACTGATTTAGGAGCTACGCAGGTGTAAAGAAGAAAAGAATCAGGATTAGCATGGTAGATTCATACTCCCTCATCCTGTCAAAAGACAGAAGATGTGTTTAAAAAATGATTAGGTTTGGGGCTTCTTATGTAGAAGGATTAAGCCTTGAGTCACTTGGGCTAAATATGGAGCTGTCAAAAAGTTTTATTCCTTTTTTGAAGGCATCTTCCCTCAAATACAAGTCTGCGGTTTGACATAATGCAGGGAGGAAGATTTGCAAGGGAGAATCACTGCATAGGAGCTGAATGTCAAGCCTTCCATTGCCTGCTGGTACTCTTCTGCAAATAAAACAGCTTTTGCACGTTTCCCAAAAGCTGTGGGGAAACTGTAGGGAAAGAAAAACATGCTATGGTGGCAGGGAAAATAATTGCAGGAGCAAGAAGGGGTGATCAGGAGATTTGTGCCACAGAGACAGATTTGCTTGCCAAAATCTTATATGGAGGTTTTCTTATCTTCAGTGTCCTGTGGCACAGTTGGTCAGTGGGCCAGTCTGTTAAGGTGGGTGGTTTGAGCCCACCCAGAGAGACAGCTGTGGGCAGGATTCCTGGATGGCAGGGGGTTGGACTAGATGACCCTTTGCACTTCTTCATGAGGACCTGGGTCTTATGCAATGTTGTTGTTGTTTAGTCATGTCTGACTCTTCATGACCCCATGGACCAGAGCACGCCAGGCACTCCTGTCTTCCACTGCCTCTCGCAGTTTGGTCAAACTCATGCTGGTAGCTTCGAGAACACTGTCCAACCATCTCGTCCTCTGTCGTCCTCTTCTCCTGTGCCCTCCATCTTTCCCAACATCAGGGTCTTTTCCAGGGAGTCTTCTCTTCTCATGAGGTGGCCAAAGCATTGGAGCCTCAGCTTCAGGATCAGTCCTTCCAGTGAGCACTCAGGGCTGATTTCCTTCAGAATGGATAGGTTTGATCATCTTGCAGTCCATGGGACTCTCAAGAGTCTCCTCCAGCACCATAATTCAAAAGCATCAATTCTTCAGCGATCAGCTTTCTTTATGGTCCAGCTCTCAGTTCCATACATCACGACTGGGAAAACCATAGCTTTAACTATATGGACCTTTGTCAGCAAGGTGATGTCGCTGCTTTTTAAGATGCTGTCTAGGTTTGTCATTGCTTTTCTCCCAAGAAGCAGGCGTCTTTTAATTTCGTGACTGATGTCACCATCTGCAGTGATCATGCAGCCCAAGAAAGTAAAATCTCTCACTGCCTCCATTTCTTCCCCTTCTGTTTGGCAGGAGGTGATGGGCCCAGTGGCCATGATCTTCATTTTTTTGATGTTGAGCTTCAGACCATATTTTGCGCTCTCCTCTCTCACCCTCATTAAAAGGCTCTTTAATTCCTCCTCACTTTCTGCCATCAAGGTTGTGTCATCTGCATATCTGAGGTTGTTGATATTTCTTCCGGCAATCTTAATTCCAGCTTGGGATTCATCCAGCCCAGCCTTTCGCATGATGAATTCTGCATATAAGTTATGCAATACTAAGGTCAGTTAAAAAGTCAATTAAAACAAGCTGTAAATAAGTGAACCTTCAGCATGTGACAAAACCTTACATGGTGAAGGTGCTAGACAGACTTTTTGTGAGAAAGTAATTTTCCTAAAAGCTGTCAGTTCAACACACACACACACGGGGAGGGGGTGTTAAAAAAGAGGAGCAGATGAAAGTCCTTAGACCTCCATAGCTGAGCCAGCTCAATGCATGTGTTTTCATCTTGTTTTCATATTAATAAACACGGGAGGGCATCATATTTCACAGGAACATGGCACTGGAATTTCAGGGCCAAGTAAGTGAAGATAGGGAGTGGGGGGAAATATTAACATCACATTGTTAGGACAAATTACATGGATACATTAAAAAACCCAAACATGGCATTGCAGAGGGTTGGACTAGGGGACCCTTTGGTCCCTCCCAACTCTAAGAAGTAGAAGAAGAGTTTGGATTTGATACCCCGCTTTATCACTACCCGAAGGAGTCTCAAAGCGGCTAACAGTCTCCTTTCCCTTCCTCCCTCACAACAAACACTCTGTGAGGTGAGTGAGGCTGAGAGACTTCAGAGAAGTGTGACTGGCCCAAGGTCACCCAGCAGCTGCATGTGGAGGAGCGGAGACGCGAACCTGGTTCACCAGATTACGAGTCCACCACTCTTAACCACTACACCACACTGGCTCTCTCAGATTCTACGATTCTATGAAATAGCTGCCTGCTCCCGATATCAGAAAACACAGTGCCTGGAACAGCAGTTATTGAACAGTTATTGAATGCCTGGGGGGGGGGTTGGGAGTGGGGGGACAACAACAGGAAAATAACCACAGGCCATCTCAAATGCCCAGCCTACATGTAAAATCCCCATGTAGGTCTGTTTTGGCCTGTGGTTTAAGTGGGTGCATAAAGCTTCAAGGTTTAGTTTATTTTTTGGCCAAGTGTCAGAAAGGATAGACACAAATGAGTAGTAGGCAATTGTGGGCATGGGGTCTGCCCTCAATATTAATAATTATTGTTCTTAATTATTAATTTATTGATTTAATGGAATAAATCAATTTCCAGATGATCTGGGTGTAATTCATGGGGGTCACTGATGTGGAAATTGAGCCCTTTTGGAGTGGGATCCATTGGGAAATCACTTGGAGGTAAATTGAATGAAGAGAAACTGGTCTAGGGTGTGGCAATAATAATAATAATACCCATGGACTGCAAGGAGATAAAACCTCTCCATTCTTAAGGAAATCAACCCTGACTGCTCACTGGAAGGACAGATCCTGAAGCTGAGGTTCCAATACTTTGGCCACTTCGTGAGAAGAGAAGGCTCCCTGGAAAAGACCTTGATTTTGGGAAAGATGGAGGGCACAAGGAGAAGGGGACGACAGAGGACAAGATGGTTGGACAGTGTTCTCGAAGCTACCAGCATGAGTTTGACCAAACTGCGGGAGGCAGTGGAAGACAGGAGTGCCTGGCGTGCTCTGGTCCATGGGGTCACTAAGAGTTGGACATGACTAAAAGATGAAAAAACAACAACAACAACAACAACATATTTTTTTATTTATACTATGCCCATCTGGCTTGGTTTCCCCAGCCACTCTGTGCGGCTTCCAGCAGAATATTAAAATACAATGATTCATCAAATATTAAAAGCTTCCCTAAACAGGGCTGCTTTCAGATGGCCAGGAAAAGGACATCTGGACCACCTGGGAGGAAGCCAGGGGGTGCCACCCACCGTAGAGGGTTGGAGGAAGAAAAAGTTGGGAAAGCACTGCTGGAGTCATGTGTGCTGCCCAGACTGGCTAGCTGTGAGGACAGGAGGGCAAGGCGAGTTATTTGCTTTTCTGAATCACCTGAGATAAATCCCTTGGCCCAGTATACCTGAAGGTGCATCTCCACCCCCATCGTTCTGCCCGGACACTGAGGTCCAGCTCCAAGGGCCTTCTGGCAGTTCCCTCATTGCGAGAAGGAGAAGGAAACATTCCCCCAGTCCCAAAGATCTGGCCTGGCTCTGGCCTTGATGAGGGAGCCTGTTGTGTGCTGTGATAGGAATTTTATGGTCTTAGATATATGGTAATGTTCATAAGCGTACCAACCAAGCACGTACATGGAACAGCACAGGAAGACCGACCTGGAACCATTTTGATTCCTAAACTGAGCAAATGTTTTCTCTGCAAGGTCAAAGTGGGAAACCTCCCCATTGTCTCTTTCCTCACAAATCCTGTCTTAAGGGCACATTTAAGATATGAATAGGGTGTGAGCCTGTGACATGGCCCAGGAACTAAGTATCACTACAAAAGACTGGCCAGGCTACCCAGGCAATCCAATCAAGTAACCTGCCAGACAGGAGATAAACAACATTCAAATTTCTGTTTTAAGACCGCCTTTTTTGTGAGGTAGGTATGATGTATCTGAGGGGTGGTCTTAGGTTACACCCCTTCTGTGATGTATGTATGATGTTTCTGGGGGTGGTCTTGGACTCCAGGGTGGGCAATTTAAAATGTCTATATAAGGGCTGACACACCTTTGTTCTGGGTCCTCCTCCTTTCCTGCGTGTGAGGGGAGCACCCTGTTGCAACAGTTCAATAAAGAACAGGCTTAGGAGCCGCTTTGCTTCTCCATATTCTCTGGTTGGCCTCTGTTATTCTCTCCTACCAATAGGGAACCTATGTAAGGACTCTATATGGGCTCTTGGATACCCCATAAGGGAAAAGGTCAATTTTTGTTTACAACAGTGCACCCCTTAGAAACTTGCACCCGGGGCCACGACCCCCCTGCCCCCCCCACGCTACACAACTGCTGGTGGTGATGGACTGAAATGCAGTTCAAGGAAGATTCCCATGGGGGTCCGCTGGAAGAAGCACAGGCTGGTTAGCAATGAGTCACTTTGCCATTAGCACTTGGAGAGACAGAAGTCTCCTTGGGAGTCTGCTCCTTCCCCCTGGTGCAGCTTCGCAGTTTACGCTCAGTCTCTCTCATTCCGCTTGGTGTTTTTGGAGCAGATTATCTGCTCCGATAATGTCTCCTTGGCCGTCTGTGTTCCCAACTGCCCCTTGGTGGGTTCTTGATGTTCCAGTAAGATTCCACGACTGTCTCAATTCATCAGCTTCATAGAGGTGTGGTGTTGCTGGAAGGGGAGAG